ATTATACCCATCTTCTTAGTATACCTTAAAAATTCTATTCAAAACGAAGAACCTTAGTAGTGGATTTTGCAGAATGGTTTCCACTGTACTGAAATCACACTTTGTTAAGCAAACGTCATTCAGCGTAGAATATGCTCCAGCTCATATTACTAAATGGAGATCAGAGAGAACCGGATTGCAGGTAACTTACATAGATCAGCCATCACCAGTGGTAAATGGTTATTTTGCAGTGGCAACAGAAATCCCAGATAACTCAGGGTGTCCTCATACTTTGGAACATTTGATTTTCATGGGTTCGAAGAAATTTCCATATAAAGGTTTGTTGGATAACTTAGGTAATAGATTTTTCTCTTCTACCAATGCTTGGACTTCAGTGGATCAAACTGTGTATACGTTGACAACTGCAGGTTGGGAAGGATTTAAAACATTGCTTCCTATCTATTTGGATCATTTGTTTAATCCTACTTTAACAGATGAAGCCTGTTTAACCGAGGTATACCATATTGACGGAAGTGGAAAGGAAAAAGGTGTTGTTTTCAGTGAAATGCAAGGAATTGAAAGCCAATCATGGTTTATCTCGTTTTTAAAAATGCAACAAACCTTGTATGCAAAAGAATCAGGATACTCATCAGAAACTGGTGGTTTGATGTCTGAGTTACGCCATCTTACGAATGATCAAATCAAAGAATTTCATAAATCGATGTATAGACCAGATAATTTATGTGTTGTTATTACCGGATCAGTCGATGAATCAGAATTGTTACATATAATGGAGAAGTTTGATAATGAATTATCTCCATTACCCTCGGTACCAAATAAGAGACCCTTTGTTGATTCTAAGCATGATTTACCGTTATCAGAAACCATCATTAAAGAAGTAGAGTTTCCTGATAAAGATGAATCCATGGGAGAGTTGTTAATAGCATGGATTGGGCCTACAGCTGACGAAACTGTTGTCAATGTTGCCTTAGATATGGTGGGATCATTTTTCACTGATAGTGCTATTTCTTTATTTAATAAACACTTAGTTGAAATAGAAAATCCGTTAGCTACTGAAATAGATTATAGCACAGATGACTATCTTAGAACGGGATTAAACTTTACTGTTAGCGGAATTCCCACTGATAAGTTGCATGAAGTCGATCTTAAAATCAAAGAATTAATTAAAACTCAAACTGATCCAAATACTTTAGACTTAGATTATTTAAAGCAGGTGTTAAACCAACAAAAGTTAAAATTTATTTTTACAACTGAAAAATCACCAAGTACCTTTTCAAATATTGCAATTTCAGAATTCATTTATGGCAAAACTGATGGTTCTGATTTGAGCAAATGGAGTAAGGATTTAAGAGAATATGAGATTTTAGAAAGTTGGACTGCGGAGCAATGGTGTGAATTAATTAAAACATACTTTGTGGACAACAAATCAGCAACTGTATTGGGCAAACCTTCCGCAAAATTAAATGAATTGCAAAAGCGTGAAAACAAAGAGCTCTTGAAAAAGATTAGAGAAAAGTATGGTAAAGATGGGTTGAAAAATTTAGCTGATAACTTGGAAAAAGCTCAAATAAAGAACGATACACCTATTCCTGATTCCATCTTAACCCAGTTTGGAAAACCTGACCCCTCTAAAATTTCCTTTATTAAGACAAGCTCATATAAAAGTGGTTCCAATGATATTGAAACGGATTATATCAAGGATGACCACTTTGATAATTTATTGAAAAAGGATTGTCCTGAAAATTTTCCTATGTTTTTCCATCTTGAAGACTTTAAATCCCAATTCACAACTATTAACTTAGTCATGTCTTCGACTAAAGCAGATCCTTCATTGTTACGTTACATGTCAATTTTGGAAGAAATATTTTCGTTTCCAATTAAATTACCATCGGGAGAATACATTCCTTATGAAGAAGTTATTTCGAAGATTAATGATGATTTGATCGAATATCAATTAGACAACGGTTTTGATAGTCAATTCTTAGAGTTGCTTAATGTCAAAGTCAAATTTGAAACAAAGAATTATAACAAAGCAATTGAATGGTTATTGTATGTGTTAAAGTATTCTGTAATCGAGAAATCTAGAATTAAGGTTATTATTGAAAAAATTATTAATTCTTTACCAGACAAGAAAAGGAATGGCGAATTGATGATGTACTCTTCTCAATACAGAACATTGTTTAATGATTCTTCATTAAGAAAGGCCCAGGATTGTCTTAATACGGAAGAATTCTATAAGGAATTACTCCAGAAGATTAATGACGGAAACTTTCATGAGATTGAACACGACTTAAATAAGTTGAAGAACCAACTTTTTAATTTGAGCAACTTCAAAGTATTTGTTGTTGGTAACTCCAGTTCGTTACCTACACCAATTTCTTCTTGGACTAAATTTGCTAGCGATTTTAAAGATAGCGATAAGTACGTATTAGAATCTTTTGAAAAGATGCCTCGCTCTTTTCAATTTAAATCTGATGTTGGTGTGAAATGTTCTGAGAAAGCCTTTATAGTTACCACACCAGCAACTGAATCAACTCATTTGATTTCATCGACCCCAATTCCAACTGACTACATGGAGAAAGATATTTTTAAAATAGCTCTCGCAAGTGAATTCTTGACTGCTGTTGAAGGACCTTTCTGGAGAGGTATCCGTGGTGTAGGATTAGCATACGGTGCTAGTATCCGCCGTAATATTGAAACTGGTTACTTGAATTTCTCGATCTACAGGGGTGCTGACGCAGAACAGGCATGGTTAACAGGTAAAAAAATTGTTGATGATTATAGTAATGGTACTTTGAAATTTGATACTGTTAGTATAGAAAATGCAGTCGCGGCAATTGTAAATGAGTTAGCAAATGGTGAATCTAATAATTATGATGCGGCTAATTGCAAAATCTCGGATAATCTTTTCAAAAGAAGAGGTCCAAACTACGGTAATCACTTTTTGAACGAGTTAAACAAATTAACTGCAGAGGACTTGGTGTATGTTACAAAAAAATACTTCCAACCTTTATTTAATGCTAAAAATTCTGTTTTATTTACCTGCTTGCCTCCTGCAAAGGCTGAAAGCTTTGAAAGGTTTTTATCTGCTCAAGGTTATAAGACTACAATTGAGGAAATAAATGCTGATGTGGAAAGCGACTGTGAAAGTTGTGATGATAGTGGAGAAGAAAGTGAAGAAGAGAGTGAAGAAGAAAGTGAAGATGAAAGTGAAGATGAAGATGCTATGGTGACTGATAAATAGATTGTAGATTATAGATTTTATTAGAATAATTCAATTTCACAAAAGTTATAATGCATACTTGCAACATTAATTTTGCAACTTAAAAAATAAAATATAAGAAAATTGAATAATGATTTTGTTCCTTATTATTTGGGATATACCCTATCTTTGTACCAATCCAATTTATATTCCACTATAAATACTAGTAAATTTTTTGTACTGCAAAAATACCAAAATTTAAGTCAATTTTCAACTAATTTACAAGTAATGAAGGAGACTATTTGCTATTACCTTTCAACTAATACCCTTCCATTATTCAATAAATTATAATGAAATCAACTCTTTTTCGTTTATATATTCCCCGATTTGGGGATTAAAGCATTATACGTAAATGTTCTTAGAACACTTCAGTATATGGAACTTTGGAACACAAATTCAAAAATGTGCGACATTTAAGATGTCGTACATTCATATCGAACATGAATTGACTGACCTGAATTAGGCCCTATGGTTTCTCCTGTTTAACTGTATCAGAAATGTCTTGTAGCATATTTGTAAGGAGCTTCGTTATGGGAAATGGTTGTTCAAATAGAAAAAAATAAAAAATCGAAGATATATAAAAAAATACTGCATATAAATCACTTGATATCAAAGGCCAATTCTTGCCACTAGTTACAGTAGTAAAGATGCAAAACTACAGGCAATACGTATTATACGGAAGAATCTAAGAATCTTCAAAAATATGATGGGATACGAGTCACAGTTCGAGTTGAAGGTAGCTGCTGGATCGAATTTACCCCAATATTCTGATAGAGCCATTTTTCCACCATCGATCTTATCATCGATAATTGATAGTTACAGTGAATCAAGCTTACCGCATCCATTAATATTCAAAGCTTGGCATAACAATAACTCATGCTATATTGGGGTTAAAGAGTTTTCTTCGAACGAGGGTGAGATACTTTTACCTCGTGTTATTACTGATAAACTAGGGGCAAGCAGTGATGATATTGTCAAAGTTGAATTGTTTGATAAAATTCCTAAGGGTAAATCGTTAACATTGAAGCCATTACAGTTCTATCCTCAAGTCCATAACTGGAAGTTTTTCCTCGAATCTAAGTTGACAAATTTCTATACTACTTTGACTAAGCATACCGTGCTCTACATTGAAGATGGACTGACGGTTTATGAGCTATTTGTTGAAGCAGTGGATGAATCATCAGATACAATTGGAATTATAGATACTGATATTATCCTTGATGTCATTCCTTTAAATGATATAATGGCAAACCAGCAATTAGAGTTTAATAAGAACTTCAACCATGTAGATTCCAATAATATTAATGAACTTTTTTTGAACAATGAATTACAGATTGAGGATTTAAAACCATTCACATCCAGTGATTTTCGACCACAAATCTACAAGTTGGATCTTTCAAATTATGACAAGTCTAAACCATTGAAGATAAAGCTTACGAGCCTGAATAATGATTATGCATCTCTCTTTAATCTTGATTTGGTCGCTGGTATGGATAAATTAGTGAACTTGGAAAACTTTCGATGGACTACCATGAGTGATGATTTTGATTTACAATTTAAATTAGACAACGATATGATCAATTCGTATGAAAAGGTAATAGAGATCAATATGCTGCAGGATGATGAGCTTTTGACTAAGATTCATAAAATTGATGATGATCTATCAGATCATTACATATACATTGTACCTTTTACTTGGGAATTCGACGGGGGTTTTCTGCTCTCTATAACAAACGAATCTAATATCTCGAAAGATTCTACATCCTACATCCAAGATCGAGAGATATCTAATGAGACTGTAAAATGTTCGAATTGTTCTAAGGCAATATCAAAGGATAAGCTTTTGTTACATGAATCCTTCTGCTTGAGAAACAATGTTAAGTGCTCTTGTGGCTTGGTATTTTTGAAAGAGATTCCTGAAACTCATTGGCATTGTGATAAATGTAATGATATAACAAAGTATGGAAGTTCAGCATTACTCAAGTTCAAGCATGATAAGTTGTTTCATGAAACGTCGTACAAATGTAATCAATGCTCTCTGGCCACTGAATTTAATAATTTTATAGATCTAGTCATCAACCACAAAGCATATGTGTGTCCTGGAAAACTCCACGAATGCCGCTTTTGTTTTTTGATAGTGCCCCAGGGGGAATCAACTTTTCAAGATAAGGTAGCAAATCTAACTAACCATGAAAACATGTGTGGGAACAAGACAACCGAATGCTTCAAGTGTAATAAAATTCTAAGAACAAAAGACCTATCTAAGCACTTGAAGATGCATGACCTTGACAAGAAACAAATGAATCAGGACACAAAAATTAATTTTAATAAGTGTCTGAATGAGAATTGTATTATCCTAATCAAGGATAGCTCAACCAACCAACTAGGACTCTGCGACTATTGTTTTGGCTCCATCTATACCCCCCAGCACGATCCCACCAATGCAAAACTCCAAAGCAGAATAGAAAGGAAGTATATGATCCAACTAACGAAGGGTTGTGGCTTCAGCTGGTGCAAAAATACAAATTGCAAAACTCACAGTCCTTCCCGTTTCGCATCTATGTCCCACAAAGACCTTCTCTCATACATCAACGACTCATTATTCTCCAGCATCCGCACCCCCGCGCTCCCGGTAAATAAGAGCAAACCACTACCCCCTAAAAACAGGCTATGGTTCTGTGTAAATGAGTCAATTCAACTGCGGAAAGACATCTTAGATCTCTTATCCTCCGAGAACGAATACGACGAAGAGCTAATTTTCAAGCCCATTAATGAGTTATCAACCGTAACTGAAGACTCTGTGAGAGAATGGCTTCTACATAATGGAGTCAAAAAGATGTAGACTTTATCAATGTCCTATTTTGGTAATAAGCTACCTTTTTCCTTTACCACTTAGATTTAGAATACACACAATAAAATAATAATAATTACCCTACTCGGTTCATAGAATTATCCTTTGCAATCGCTCTGCACGCGTCAGGACCCCCGATAGCATTTGTAGCTCTTATCGGCCATCCACAGTTCAGCTAGGAAGGTTTACAATAGGACTTTGCTTATCAGTGGAATATTTATCATATCACACGACTTTGATTAGTAGATGACACAAAATTAAAAGTATGGCTGGACTTGGGCCTCAAACGGTTTCAGATAAATTACTTATCGCCACTATATCCCTTTTCTACTATAAAGTAGATTATCTTCTTAGTATTGTGCTTATCTTCCTGTTAGACGCTACAATTACTTATACAAACTACGCTAATAAAGAATAAACTCATAAATAAATAAAAAAATATGTTATTATCAAGATCCGTTGCTATTTCCATTTTGGCTACCTTAGGAGTTCAAGGTTTAGTCATTCCATCAGTAGATGAAGTCATTGATGTTTTTGGTAAAAATAACCAAAAGGGGGTTGTTTCCAGTAATAAGGCAGTTGGAAAAGTTGAAAGCAATGTAGCTTCAAGCTTAAATATGAAGTTGTTATCAGTTGAAGAGGCAGCGCCAGTGGTCAATGCCGAGTCGGTCAGAGATATCATTCCACATAAATATATTGTTGTTTTCAAGGAAGGATTGAGTGCAGACGAAATCCAATTCCACCAAGAGTGGGTTGCTGCTGAACATTCTAATTCGTTGGGCAAAATGGGTGAAAGCGACCCATTCAAGCATGCAATCAAAGAGTTGGATATCGCAGGCGGTATCTTGGACTCGTTTAACATTAGCAATTTGTTATCTGGTTACACTGGGTTCTTCAATGAAGCGACTATCGACATGATTCGTCGTAACCCATTGGTTAAATTTGTCGAAAAGGACTCCATGGTCCACGCATCTGAATTTGACACCCAAAAGGGTGCACCATGGGGTTTAGCTAGAGTTTCACACAGAGAACCATTGAGTTTGAACTCATTTAATCAATATCTTTACGATAATGAGGGTGGTAAGGGTGTTACTGCTTATATTATTGATACTGGTGTTAATGTTGACCATGAGGAATTCAAAGGCAGAGCCAAGTGGGGATCTACCATCCCTGAAGGAGACGCTGATGTCGATGGTAATGGTCATGGTACCCATTGTGCTGGTACTATTGGATCCAAGGCTTATGGTGTTGCTAAGGGTGCCGACCTTGTTGCCGTCAAAGTTTTAAGATCCAATGGTTCTGGTAGTATGTCTGATGTTGTCAAGGGTGTTGAATTTGCTACCAAGTCTCATTTAGAAGCTGTTAAGGAAAACAAGAAAGGATTCAAGGGTTCCACTGCTAATATGTCGTTAGGTGGTGGTAAATCTCCTGCATTAGACTTAGTTGTTAATGCTGCAGTCAAGGCAGGTATTCATTTTGCTGTTGCTGCTGGTAACGAAAACCAAGATGCTTGTAATACTTCTCCAGCCAGTGCTGAAAATGCCATCACTGTCGGTGCCTCGACCATTGCTGATGCAAGAGCTTACTTCTCCAACTTTGGTAAATGTGTTGACATTTTTGCCCCTGGTTTGAACATTTTGTCTACATACATTGGTTCCAACTCCGCTACTGCTACATTATCTGGTACCTCCATGGCCTCTCCACACATCTGTGGTTTATTGTCTTACTACCTCTCTTTGCAACCAAGTGGCGACTCTCAATTCGCTATGTCGGGTAGTGGCGTGTCTCCAAATCAATTGAAGAAGAACTTGATCCACTATGGTTCCAAGGGTGTCTTAAGCGACATTCCAGAAGATGGCACTCCTAACATCTTAGCTTTCAACGGTGCGGGTCACAACTTAACCGAATTCTGGAACGAAGGCGTACAACAAGTTTCCGAAAAGGAAGCAAAGCTTTCTACAAAGCTTTCTAACTTTGAATCAAAGGTCGAGAAATTGATTTATAAAGCTGAACACGACAGTGAAGGTTTATATAATGACATTAAGAACTTGGTTGATGATGCCTACAAGAATTCCAATTAGATGAATATGTATTTTTTCTGTTTTATCTTTTTTCATCTTATTTAGCTTTATATTGCAATTTTATTGTCATACTCCTTTTAATCATCTCTATTTATCTTTATACCTATCATGTTTACTGCCCAAGATTGGGTGTTATTTCAATACATATATGATTTTATTCATCTTGCCTCCATCACTATGTGCAGAATTATGCCTAAATTGACGTCTCAAGAAGCACAACTTCAAGATAAACTAGTGGCAATATAGACAAATACTTCAGTCCATTCATTACTATTTTTACGTTTAGGACTTAATATTACATGAATTATACTTAAATACACTGTTTGATATACTATAGAAGAAGTTATAAATGTCTACCCCAGCTAAAAGAAGACTTATGCGTGATTTTAAGGTATGTTAATGCTGAATAATTACTAAACCATAGGATCAATACTAACGTAGTTTAGCGTATGCAACAAGATGCTCCGAGTGGAGTTTCTGCATCACCTTTACCAGACAATGTTATGAGCTGGTAAGTATACTGTTTGAAGTTAAATTGAAAAGTAACATTACTAACACAATATAGGAACGCAGTTATCATAGGTCCGGCAGACACGCCGTTTGAAGATGGTACATTCCGTTTAATTCTTCAGTTTGATGAACAATATCCAAACAAACCACCTTCGGTTAAATTTATTAGTGAGATGTTTCACCCAAATGTTTATGCATCAGGCGAATTGTGCTTAGATATTTTACAAAATAGATGGTCGCCAACTTATGATGTTTCGAGTATCTTAACGTCTATCCAGTCGCTTTTGAATGACCCTAATATAAGCTCTCCTGCGAATGTAGAAGCAGCTAACTTGTATAAAGATCATAGATCACAGTATATTAAAAGAGTGAGAGAAACAGTAGAAACCAGTTGGAATGAAGATGATGAAGATGAAGATGAAGATGACGACGAAGATATTGATGACGCAGAGTAAATGTGCATAACACTAGAACCATTATGTTCTGTATATACATTAAATAAACATATCTATTTACAAAGTTATTTAAACCATAAGTAATACCATTTACGGGCCAGCTTCTTTTCTTCCTCGAGCTTTTTATTCAAAAGCTCACGCTCTAACTGCTCTTGCCTGGCTTGTCTTTGAGTTTCATACTCATCCTCAATTACAACTTCTGTAGGTTTGAATTCTTCACCGTAGTTCTTGTCTCTATAGATTGCAAACATGGATATAAATATAGTCAAATAAATGAAAAACTTCGAAACGCCATCTACTCTTTTAAAATCAAATTGCTTAATTCTAACCGGTGTCTCAGACAATATCACAGGAGGGTCTATCTTATTAATCTTGGTTGTGCTTGTTGGTTTTGTGGTTTTCACTTTACTGGGTATATGAAATGGCAAATCATAAGGTGGTTCATTGGTCTTCCAATTCTTAAAGTCTTCCCTAACACCCCAGTCCCCAAAGTAAATATAGTAACCTAATTTCTTATCTTCTAAAGTCAACTTAGTCCATTTCAGATCAAATTTAGCTTGCAAATCCTTCAATACTTGTCCTTGATGGAGTAAACTTAAACTTCCAAACAATTTTGGATTTTGAAAAATGGGTTTAGTATCAATCGGTTGAGTAGCATCATCAGATGATGAAGAAGAGAAAAGGCCGCCTAAATCTTTAATCGATTGCATAGCTAACTCTGCAGCTTCCTTCTTAGCCTGTTCTGGACTCTTTTTCATGTCCTCCTTCTTAACATTTTCACTTGACGTAGAATATTTAAAATGATTGAATCTAATTATCCTTGGCTTTAAAATCCCAACCCTTAAGGTGGATCTACCAACCATCATCGAACTCATTATCGAAAATAGATCACTAATGCTTATAGTTTTAATACAATTATAAGATATTGTATGGTGAAAAAACCGTTAAATCACGCTGAAAATTAAGATGCCAATTCATTACCAAGGTTCGAACCAAGGACACTTTTTTTTGAATCTCGTATAATTAAACACAACAGAATATAGAAAAGCCAAAGCTTTAATAAGGTAAGGTATGAAAATTCGTAATTCAAGGGAATATATAATAAAAGTACATTGGATTAGAAAATGCTAATTTTTATAGTCTAGAGTTTATATACTTTACATAATTCTGTTCATGAATCGTCCCATTGCAATCATAGGTGCGCATACAGCTTTTACCATCATACATAATGCATCAATCAAGAGACTCAATTCATAAAGGAGCCACAAAAAGATCACTAGTTCAATCATTATAACTAATGTCTGCAAGTTGGGAAAATTCATAGCAATAATATCAATGGGTGCAAAAATAATTCTCATTATTTTAATATTCTTAATGAGAGTGTTCAAATTTGAAATGATAGCAACCGGGCCCTTTGATGAATCCAACATTGAATTTCTTCTTTGCTTATTGAATCTTGCTTGCGGATATAGCGATGAAAAAGAGGTTGGAGGATTTCTTTGCAACTGCCTGCTCGAGGGGTCATAATATAGTTCTTCGTCTAAATAGCTTTCTTCATCATCTGCATCATCAAGTTCAATAATAAACTCTTGTGACAGATCATCTAGCAATCCTGGTGGGGCCGCAAGAGCTGATCCTGCCAGTCTTCTCATTATACTCTTCTGATTTTGGGGGATTTGCCCATTGGTAAATAACGCAGAAGCTGGTTGACCCCACTTATTGACCACGCCTTGGTAATTTTTCTTTATGTTTCTCAAGTCGAACTTGACGGTGTCCTTATTCATACCCAGTTTCTTTTTTGATCTGAAGCTATTATTAACTACTGGTTCCTCTTGATAGCCTGGTGTTTCAGTTTGATCATACACCAACCAAGATAGTATATAATTCCATAAAGGATGAAATTCTGGATCAGCCTTAGGACCGGGGCCTGCATTTCCTACCTCCTTCGGCTCTTCTGGTTCAAGTACTATTGGTTCAGTAGTTGAAATATTCTCTATCCTTCCATTCAGGTAATCAAGATTACTGGAATAATCCTTGCTTAATTCTTTCGAAGCTTTCTTCAACTTTCTTTTCCACACATTTTTGAAATTTTTATTTTTCTTCAATTGTTTTCTTTCCTCTTCAGTTAAATAAATTTTATTGTTTAAGTCATTTTCATCGTCATCATTACCAGAACTGGTGCCTGCTGCATTAACAAACACATCTCTTTTTTCATTGGGAGACATGCTTTTATTTTTATAATAATCATATTCATTGTAGTTATCTTTGCCTAGTTTAGTCTGTATTGTTTTAAAAGCTCTCTTAAATATTTGGTTTTGCTCTTGTTCCCTCTTCGATTCTGGATCATCAAACACTGATTCCATAGGGTTATATTTTTCCAGCAACTCCTGCTCATCTTCAAACACTTCTCGGAAGGTCTTGTGAGTATAAAACTTTGGTTTGTACGGCGATTCATCGTATCTTTGCTTCTGTTTAATATAATACTCCCCCCTGGGATACTTCACAGACTGTCTGATCACTTTTCCGTTTATCAATGCTTTATCTCTTGGAACCTTATGTGAATAATGCCGGGAATTCTTATTCTGGAGTACATTTAACTCCGCAGGCGTTATTCCTTGCTCCAAATAGTCCGGATCATAGATAACTTCTTCCTTTGAACCAGAACTGGTGCTTGATACCTTTCCAGCATGTTGACCGAAATTTTCGACAGTCGGTGATAATAAAGGCGATCCAGGAGCACTTGCAACTTTTGCATCATCCATTTGTGAGGGTGTTCTTGGTCGTGATAAAGGCGTCCTAGTTCTAGCAACAGGTGTTCTCGATCTAACTGAGTTTGGTGAGTGATCTCCTGAAACAGATGTGGCTATACGTGGACTATGTGATCTGTTCAATGGCCGACTGGAGTAGTCATATTGCTTCCGTTCGTTATCAGGCAGCCCAACATGTCGATTTCTGGTAACATTATTTAAATAATCTGACGTATAATACCCTTTACTAGTAACATTCATTACTTGAAACTGTCTTCTATGATGAGAATACTCTTTAATCCATCTTAGATATATTTTTAAAATATATACTTCTCTTCAGTAAATAAATTAGAGATGGCTGGTTAGCTTTATATCAGGACTGCATATAAAATGTTCCTTGATTTTGGTTATGAAACTTGCCCATATTGATTATCGGACATAAATGGGTCATAACTCAGGATCAGCTTAGGACCCTATTGAATGATCCTTAATTGAAAGAGACGACGCTACTCAAGATAGATAATGATGCTCAAAACAAGTGGAGAGAGTTGTCGAAAAATAATACCAGGTATTTACAATGTCCCAAAAGGAAGATTTAGTACCAAGCAATCGCCAATTACATCCCATTCTTACATAGATGATGATTTCTTATCGTTGAACAAGGAAGAAATTGCTAGCCATGTGCAAGATTTGGGGCCATATCCATCATATTCAAATATCTTGAATCAACATCACTTTTATCAGAATGAGGTTTTGATGAAATACCTGAAGAAAGATCCGCATCCTGTGTCGCTTCGACAATTGGCAGGTTTTGGTAAGAAGCTCAGCAAGCAGAAGATTGTACATAGTGCTAATTTTGTGAGGCTTGAATTGCCTATAAGGTTGGCAATGAGGGTCAGAGATTTGCAGACGTTGCCATTTGGTATAGCTAATAATTTTCATTTGGGTCAAATATATGAAAGTTATTATCATCTGTTCAATGCATTTAGAAAAATTCCTCCCATTAATACGCTTGAAGATAATGACAGATTCTGTGAGACACTTTCTTCATTATTGGATGACCATATATTCAACTTGTCTCACTTGATGATGGGGGCATTAGAAATTTCCATATTGACCAATTTCCCTAGGGAGGAATTAGATCGGTTTATGAGTACTATGATCAGATCACGGACTAGTAGAAGAGTTATTGTGGAAGAGCATTTATCGATGACTGAAAATTACCGGTCGCTGCCTAACTCCAGTAAGCCTCCTGACTATATTGGTGAACTATTCCAAATGTGTAAAGCCAGTGATAATTTTCAAGAGGTGGGGGACTTAATTAAAAACTCAATGCTTGAATTTTATCCTAATAAAGAGAATATGCCTGATTTAGAAATCGAAGGTGATGTAGATGCAAGTTTTCCGTTTATGGTGCCACATTTACATTATTTATTTGGGGAGATCTTGAGAAACTCATACGAAGCAGTTATAAATACCCACAAAGGAAAAACTTCTAAAAAACTACCACCAATTAAGATTACAATCATTGATTCAAAAAAGAACGTCCTTTTTAGAATCTCCGATCAAGGAGGTGGTATGACTCATGACAAATTATCAGAAATATGGTCTTTCGGAAAAAGCCCTGAATTTGCCAGGAGAAGTTTGGCTAATTTCCATAGAATTCCCGGTTTACAACTTTATTCCAACTTGGAAGTCACTGCAGCAGGCTCGTCTGTTATTAGAACTCCAGAAAATGATAATTTGCTAGAACACACATCCTTGGGAAATATTTCTCCAAAAAATAAAAAGTCTACCTTGGACAGCTTAATTATAAGGCCTCATGAATATAAGTTAGGCTTAGGCTTGCCGATGTGCAAAATCTATGCCGATTACTGGAATGGTGACTTGCTGATGAATTCCTTGGAGGGTTATGGTAGTGATACTTGTCTTACTTTAAGTAAATTAGGATACCATTCCAATGTTATTCAATTAGATAGAGCATAGTATATATAGATTTAATACCCATATAAATTTATGTGCGAGTATCAATGTATTTTTTTTAAGACAATTTATAGTTGTTATTTACTTGTGAACATAAGTTTGAAGAATACATTCTGTACACCATTATGTCCCAGGACAATCAACCGGTCTCGAATACTCCAGGGGATGTATTAAAAAATCCGATTCTGGGGTCAAATATTTCGGATGTGATAAAGGAACCTCCTAACGATCCAGCACGATCCACCCATAACACTCAATTGGATCCAAACACAACGTCTACAATTCCTTTACAGCAATGGGTATCACAGTTTCAAACTACGCTAGATATTTCTCCTGCATCTTCAAGTAGAAAAGAATATCCAAATATAATTGATTCAGATATTAAGCTGCCTAATATCACAAACACCTTCAACCCTAATAATAATAATATTCCTGGTTTAGGTCCAGCTGAAAGAAAGGTGACAAAACCCAAGAAGCCAGTAGCAATAAAACCTTCTCCATCTTTGCCCACTCTTTTGCCAAAATCAGTGAGTCCACCCAACAGTCTTAATCGAATAGCCCCAAAAGAACCCATTGGGATAGATCAAATTAGACAATTTCAAACGAGTTTCCAACTCAGCTCAAGCCAGCCTTCTTTCAATAAAACATCCATCAGTGCCATAATCAATTTCGATCCTGAGTCTGAAACCAAGCCAGAAATATCAGTTACAAAAGAAAAGAAAAAGAGGGTACAGAAAAAGAAGTCCTCAGATGACAAGGAGCAGCCATCTAAGAAAAGGAAGACTGAAACCCCCAAGAATTCAGCTGAGGCTAAAGCGAGCTCGCCACTGGTTGAGAATACGATATCTAAGGCGACAACTGAATCTCCCAAAAAGAAAAAGGTTGTTAAAACAAAACAGACAGATACTAAGCCTAATGAAACGAAAAAATCTGCTAAATCTAAGAAAAAATCTGTAGAGGTAGCAACACCTCCAAATGCAGATCTGTCTAAGTCAGTTATTCATCCTAATATGACAACTGAGAGAAATGTAATCAAAGAAAATAATGTATTATTACCCTCACCGAAAATAATTGATTTCACTGAACCACACTCTGACTCAGATGTCATTCTAGATAATGATATTATACCAAGGGCCCCTAGTGATAAAGAAAATGATACCAAAAAAGAGGAGAAGGAAAAGGAGAAGGAAAAGGAGAAGGAAAAGGAGAAGGAAAAGGAGAAGGAGAAAGAAAAGGAGAAAGAAAAAGAAAAAGAAAAGCCTGAACCACCAATAATTGCAATAAATATACCGTTACTTGATCCTGCTAATCCTAAGCCTGGTCAATCGGAAGTTGTGATAAATGTATTGAAATTGGCTGAAGATAAATATGGATGGTCCGTGATACACCCTAATGCAAAGTCTGCAATTGATTTAATGGATGAAATTATAGATGATGAAGACGATGGAATGGAAGAAGATATTGAAGAAGATGAATTACCTATTATTGATGAGCAGGGTCCTGCCCCTGGTAACCCTCTTGCAAAAAAGAAAAAGGCTGAAGAGGAATTGACAGAAGAACAATTAGCGAGAAGGCATGAAGTTAAAATGAATAGAAAAGTAGGAAAGTATGATTATGAAGATCCGTTTATTGATGACGAAGAATTACAATGGGAAGAAGAAATTACTTCGACAAAAGATGGTTTTTTTGTTTATTGGGGTCCTTTAGTTGACGATAGAAATAATACGACGTCAAATAAAAAAGCGTCTTCAAAAAATAAGAAGTAAACTTCATATGTATGCTTATTTACTATATTGACTATAATACTGTATAATACAATATAATACAATATAATAAAACATATATAAATATTTATACCGAAACTAAACTAATTTTAAGCTCTTATCCTATCAAGCGTAATGTTCAACATATCGACAGCATTCAATTCCGCTTTATCAGCTTCAGAAGTAGGCTTTTTATTTTTTTTGATTTGTGAAATATTCTTATCCATAATTTTCAATATTTTTTCGATGTGTGAATCGTCTGCCTTAATAACCGGATCATCTTTAAGAACGATCAAAAGATTCAAATAAGCTGATAAAGTTGAGAACTTAGATGGATTAAGTTCAACCCTAACTGCGTCACCACTTTCAGGATCTTGAACAAATGTCAATTCAATCGCTTCGTCAATCAATTCGAAGATATCATCGGCTCTCTCTTTATTCAACCTAAGAAATTTATTAGAATTCTCCGATAAATCACGACTAGGTAATATTGGAGCCGGCTTGCTAGAGTCATTAATATTTAAGTTTTTCATATTCTCACTTAAAGAAGTTGATTTGGTCTTAGTTAACAATTCCTTCAAAACCCCAATCAAAACAGCCTTGACGTTTTCATAAGGACAATTCATTAGTGAGTCTTTAATAAAAGAGAATGAAATGTCCTCAGGTGATAATGTCAAAATTTTAGTCAACAATGTTAATGTACCATACCTAAAATTAGGAGTGGAAATCAAAGTGGTACATATAAATAATAAAACTTGATAGTAAATAGACAATAGGATGCTGGGGATCTTTGATATTTCTAATTCAAGTTTTTTATCATTTTTAGACAGTTTATGGATTGCAAGCCACGTCCAAAATAAACATAAATCTGCCACAGACCTGGATCTGAACGATGGATGTATTAAGCTTGGTATTACTGATCTCAATGTGAGGACTAAAGCATCATTGAAAGTTAATTCAACACTATCATAAATCCGTTTTGAAGCAATATTATGTGTATACAAAATTAAGCAACCATTCACTGAGTTATTAAGTTCCTTAACATCATTATCCACAATAAAATTCGATACATTATTCTGGTAATCAATAATAACTCTCTCAAATATTTCGCCACTAAGTTCATCTTGATCTTTCGTATAATCAAAAGAATGAAAAAGCTTATGGGAGTCAACGATAAACTGTTTAAAAACTTTGCTCAAATCGATATCAAACGATAATGCTAATTCAGTATATCTATCAACCAAATTAGATTCGGCACGATATTCAAAGGTTCTTTCTGACTTACTATTCTTGAAATCTTGAAGGTATGACAATATGTCCATCGAGTAATCAGAGCACATTTTTTTACCAATCAAACTTACAATTTCCGTTAAAAATCCAGTTAACAATTTTCGTTGTAAATAGTCTTCATCTGCTTTGATCTTTTCCACCTCTTCCTTTGTTAAATCATCTAACTTATCAGGAAATGGAGGTGAAGAATAGCTTCTTGCAAAAACATATGCCCTTTTCAGAATAAAATGATTGTTACTTGAGGTGCCCATATTCGCCAGCGTTAAATTAAGAAAGGACGAAATTGTCATAGACAAGAACCTAGAAGGATAGAAGGTCTTGATTTTCTTCAAGCAACTATCTATTAATTCAAAAATACAATAAAGCTTAATATCAAAGAATTTTTCTTTAAATTCAATATTATCTGTGGTATTATTGTCAGTAACCTTGATAACATTCAATAATTCACAGCACTTCAAAAATAACTCCTTATGATTCCCATTCAAAGCCAAGCATTCAAATATCTTTAAAATTTTATACACATTTGGAGCTGTCCTAATGGAACCATCGAATTGAAAGTTCAGGTCCACGTATAAAATTAATAAATTAGGTAAATCCCATCCAATTTCGTACGTCAATTCCTTATTCTTAGTTAGAATTGTTAGTAAATGCTCCAAGAGCTCCTCTCTTTCTTCGTAAGAATACTTGTATGGGTCACTCAAATAAATATCTAGCAATGTACTATAAGAAAGATAATCTTTTGACTCATTAATATCTTCAGCCGCTGATTCTAGACTCTTCAAGACTTTGTCGAACTCAAAGGTCTCAATCGTTGATTCGCTTGCATTGGTTATACTAGAAGTATCTGATTCTGACATGATTAATTGTAGCTTATTCCTTATGACGAATGTTAATTGAAAAACGCAAAGCCTTTTAGATGAAGCATATAAATTATTGCGACTGAATGTCTAAATAACAATCCTACAAAATGATAACCAATTTTTCACAGGCAGTACACAAAAAATAGAACACACTCATGTCCATGATACAATCGGATCAAGATGAATCTTCAGATACTTCAGAAGCATCTGAAGTATCTGATACATTGGAGGATAAAGTTATCGAAGACGAAAAAATTGAGACTAAGATTCCGCTATCAACGTCTATAGTATTGGAGAAGCTTCCCGATCAAAAACAGCTACAATTGAGCAAAATAACTCATGAGAGCAACATATTTAAAGTGACAATTAGATTCCAGCCAATAGGCTCCACTCCTAGTATAAATCCAAGAGTATTCAAGATATCTTCTAATCAGTCTATATCGACTATAAGTAAATTCTTAATCAAAAAATTGAAAATTAAAAGCAATCTAATTTACCTATATATACAAAATTCATTTCAGCCAAATCCTGACGAAAAACTAGGAGATTTGTACAACTTGTTTAAGACAAATAACGAGTTGATTATAAATTATTGTTATTCTATAGCATTTGGTTGATTCACTCTTTAGCTGTACAGCAAATGCTAGAATGTATCTATGCTTTTGTATTTGAACCGCTTTCATTAATTGCTAGTCCTATTTTGCTAAATAGCAATAAAGCTTAAAGTGGCTGTCGTAAATCCTTTGATACAAAAACTCTCATCTTTTGCAATCGAAGGAACCATGGGCAAAGTAGGTTCAGTTCTACCAGACCATAACGACATCATCTACATGAATAAATAATTAACAAGTAATATTGTAATCTAAATAAAAAGAAAAACAAATGGATAATTAAATCCGTCTAAAAGACAAGAAGGTATAAAGGTATAAAAAACCACGGGAAGAAACGCAAACACCAAAAAATAGTAAATACAGGAAATATACTTAAACATTAAGCTGTCTTAACTTAGTTGTAGAAGACAAACTTAGCCTTACCGGAAGAGACGGTGACGGTACAACCATCAGTACCCTTACCGTTGTAAGAACCGTTTTCGTATTTACAGTCACCGTTGACATCAGCACCACTTTCGCCAACAATCTTAACATTATAGTTTGGAGCGTCTTGGTTGTTTGGGTTTGGAATCAAAGATAAGTAAGTCTTACCGTCAGTAACACCAGCACCTAAGACAACAGGAGCCCAGTTACCAACACCAGAACCTTCAGTACCCCAGATACAACCGTCTTCAACAGAAACACCAGCGTTGTTAACGTAGTATTGGGTAGAGGTCTTACCACCCTTCCAGGTGTAGTAGGTAGCAGAGTCAACAACAGAAGCTGGAGCAGTATTACCACCTTCTAATAAGGTTGGAATATTCATGTTTTCAGAACCTGGGTAATCGGTACGACAGATAGCGATGTCCTTGCTGATTTCAGAAGAGAATTCAGCAGTTTGTTCACCCCAAGAACATAAGTAGTCTTCATCTTGGTTAGACTTGTATAAGTAACCACCCTTACAGTATAAACCACCAACAGAGATACCGTTGCTTGGTTGTTCAGATGGCCATTGGGTCTTAGACATACCAGCTTGACAAGCGTAAGAACAGTAGTAACCATCCTGACAGTTGGAAGAAGTGTCACCGTCTTCGTTCATAATAGAAGTCCAACCACCGTTTAAACCGGAGATCCAGTCAACAGCAATAACACCTTGACCGGTTGGGACTTCGGAACACTTGTACTTACCATCTTCGAACTTTTTGGTTGGATCGGAGAAAGCACTCAAGTCGCCGGAAATACCAGAGGAAGATCCAGAAGAGGATCCACCGGTGGAAGAAGATTCAGATTCGGTTTCCGAAGCAGAGCTAGAAGCAGCTTGGCTGGAAGAAGAAGAAGCACCACTCGAGGTGACAGTGGACAAGGTGGTGGCAGAACCAGAACCTTGGGTGCTGGTAGCAGTACCAGACGAAGTGATTGGGTTACCGTTGGAGTCAACGTAAACAACTTGGGTCACTTGCTTAACAACATTGGCTCTCTTGTGTTGATGTTGGTGGTGTTGGTGACCTTCTAATGGAGCAGCCAAAGAAGCACTAGCTAAAGCTAAAATAGTTAAAACGGAGTATTTCATAATAATAATTTGAATTTCGAAGTTTCGATTTGAATTTCCTCTAAATGAATGTGTAGGAAATAATATGTAATATCAATTACGGGTATAAAAGATTGGATAATCAGTTAATAGCTATAAGGAAAGACTATAGTTGGTAAATAACTTGCAAGAAAAGATAATAAATTTAAAATTAAAATTTACTAAATTGATTTTCTGACAACAGCGAGTGTAATTTGAAATAACAGTTAATATGAAAAAATTTAAAAAAGCCCTGCAATAATTCAAAGCAGCAAAATTATTGTTATTTATGTTTTTAATTGATCCTATTCGGTGCCTCTAATTACATAGGCGAGGTAAAAAAAAATTCTTTTCGGTAAGAGATATTTATGATTCGGCCAATTAGAGTTAAATTACAATTTCTTTTTCGATTGTGTGAGTATTCGAGCACAGGCCTAGACCTCACACACTGCGGTCGGCGCATTGTGCCTAAGTACTGCGAGCTACAGAGTTTAAGCGCGGCAAGATCGCATGTGGCCAATCAGGAGACGTATTTTATAGGAGAAATGCAGTCCGTACAGTAAATCAGAAGTGATCAGGGGAATCTAGAACAGAAGACAGGTAGATGAAGCAGGTGCGCTTGCAGTGCAAAAAGGCATAGAGATATGGTATGGGGATCGAGAGAGCGGTGAGCACTAATTAAGAGTGAAACATGGGAAACCGTGTATGATATTGAATGAAACAATTGTGCGGTGAATCTTGGATAATAGTTAAATAAGAGCCCAGGCAATACACGGAACACGAAAAGACCACAGCGGCAGATGTTCATAATCTGGCAGTGGAGAATATTGCACAAAACGGTTGCAACACACCTCGGTGCAAAACGAGAAAAGTGCGATGTATCCACTGCATAGAATATGGTTAGAGGAAAGAAAATTTTGCGGACTGACATGACACAAAGGTGCGAGGATGACGTGCGAGCAGTAATTACAATACCAGAAAGAGATGAGATGGCGTTAATTACGTGCAGATGGTGCAGTACACGCCTGGGATGGAGATCGAGACGCTCAGACGATGCCCAGATGATGGACAGATTATGGCCAGATTATGGCTTTTGGACATCAATCCCAGAGGCTGGGATGGCAGCCAAGAAGCGGTGTGGGGAAAATCTCTGGGTAGACGTTGGGGTGAGCTCAAGGTTAGACTTTGGGTTAGAGTTTGCTGTTGCGCAAGACCAAAGTTTGATTGTGCGGTGAAGTGAGGTATTAAAGTTAGCGAGTCGTAAACGAAAAAAGCTCGAGAGTTGACATGGCGACAAGCGATTATACTCTGAGCGTGGGCCTACACATTAGACCGCGAGGTGTATAGTTAGTGGCGTCTGGTCTTCAATAGGGACATTACATAGGTAGTACTATTGATGCGCTCAATGTGTGCATTACTGAGTGATATAACAAACGGGCTTCCTGTTGGCAGTTATACGCCGTTATACGCCGCAGATGCCGAGGCGAGTGTTTGGTCGTTACTTGGTGTAGAGATCGATCCGCTACAGGAGTGTAGCAGGCCTTCGTATTTGACCATGATACCTTTCCATTCATTACACTAAACATTAACTATAATACAATCATAACCTAACCCTATATTGTCGCGGTTTTCCGCGACTTATATTACGCCAGTTGCCACGTCGCCACTGTACCTAAACCCTATTCTTTTAACATCAGCCCAAAGTGCTTAGAACCCAATATTGCCACCAGTCCATAGTCATTTCGTAGCGAAGGTCCACTGATACTGGTCCAGCATTCCTTACCTGCGTCATGTAGCCCTTGGTTTGATATATAAGCCTTCAGTAATGAGATTCCCCTAAATAAAAGTAGAGTCTCCTAAATGACGCATATCAAATAAGCACATTCACTCAAGTCTGGATTCCGTGAGTCTTAAGGCCCTTTCTATCCCTTGTCATGAATCCACATCATCACTTTGAAACCTCTTAAAGGTTTATTCAATTATATTTCAACCGACGGTCCCTTCATCTTCGATGCCGAGGTTGAACCATGGATGATCTAATGCCTCCAACGCCGTTAGTCTCTCGTCGGGGTTAATAACCAAAAGATTCTTAAGCAAATCGATGAAAAACCACCAAAAAGTGAAATTTCCAAAATTAATCAAATGCTTGTTCTTATCGAAATTCTTCGATAATGAATAGTCAAGGTTAATATTGAGACCAATCCTCGAACTGATAAATAAGTCGATCCTTGCTAACAAATTGACGCTATTAATAAATTTTTGTGGAGTTGATTCTGTAGGAAATATTAACGATAAACTATTTCCCCTAGTCAATTCATCATCTATTATTACATCGTCGTCTTGTTCGCTTTCTTCGTCGCTGAATCCGTTATACTCGTCCGTAAAATACTGTAATCCACACTCATTTTCTTTGGCTTTTGACAACAATACCATAGATTTATCTATTTTATGGCCACACACTTTTTCAATCATTGCCAAATGTTCTAGATTATCGTGTGTCTTGAACAAAGGCTCACCTATTACTAATTCAACTAAAATACATCCCACAGACCACATATCACAGGGAAACGACCATCCAACACCTAACACAATTTCTGGGGCTCTATAATGCCTCGTTGATACAATAGAAGAATGATACTCATCATCAAATATAGCACTCCCAAAATCAATTATTTGTATTAACGGGTTTTTCAAAATCTTTGAATACTTGGGAACTTTCTTACTCGATGTTTCATTCAATTTTGTTAAACTTATGTAACTTGAGATAATAGTGTTACTCCGCAACAACTTTTTATTAAATGAATCATCATGTAATAATATATTCTCCGGTTTCAAATCAGTGTGAATTAAGCTCAAGTCATGCAAAAAGGTGACAGACCTGATAAGCTGCTTTGAAATGGCTTGAATATGTGATCCAGGAAATGCAATATATCTATTCTTTTCCAAGAAATCGTACAACGAAATTTGCAACAAATCCGTTACAATGCAAATATGTCCCCTAAAATCAAAACATTCACGAAGGTGAATACAGTGATTGTCATTTTGGTTGTCAAATTTTTTCAACGTAGACAAAATTCTCAATTCAATCTTAGCTGCATCTCTGTACTTGGGTATGTTTCTTATTATTTTGATGGCAACCGTTTCGCGGTTAACCTTATCGTAACATTCAACGACTTTTCCAAAGGTACCTTGACCCAATAATTTTAGTATTACAAATCTATTGGCAAAGAGATCATTAATCTTGATAATATAATGACCATCTTTATCATCGCAAGGAGGTAAGTTCATTTGGTGAGGAATGATATCCGTTCTGATATTTCCTAATTTAGGATACTGTAGAACATAGTTTATTGGCTTGTTATAGAAACATTTCACTTGCGGTAATTGAGGCAACGAATTGGTTCTTTGCTTCTTAGTTGTATTCGACATCGGAAAGCTATCTTGATGAATCTCAAAATCCTCAACATTGTTCACATTGAACATATTATATGCCGCAAATGCATCCGTATATGTCAACACCGAATCAGAATTGTTCCTCTTCGACTTGGTGCGATTGATTTGTCTTTCCTCTAGAATAATGACATCATCATCTTCGTCACATTCCGATTCCAAATCTTCTATCACCGCATGATCCTTGTTGTAACTATCCATTCCAAAATTAACCTTTTTAGTATTTGAATCATTCGTATTTATAGTTGTATCTGACTCATTCAAGTTGATATTCATATTCAAATTAAGATTATTACTCGAGCTGGGTGATATGTCGTTATATGTTGACCCCGACGACGACGAATTAGTATCGAAATAGCCGTTGGATGGCTTTGCTTTATTTGTAGTCGTATTGCCTGATGTCGTATCAAATGCTTCACTGAACCCTCTTGGTCTTTTTCTATTAGAAATCAACGACATTTTGTCGGATAACCCAAGTAATTTTTGTTATATTTAAAAAAAAAAACCTTTACCGAACTTTATTAGCTTACTGAATGCTAATCAAGGGGTAATTAACTTCGATTACTTCACCGAAAAAAAAAACTTTAGTTTAATCTTAACACAGCGAATTTAGCGTACCTCTGTGTATCTAGGCTTAACTCAATATATTTATATATATCTAAACTTATCTTCTTAATTACAATGCTAATTAAGGGGATGATAAGATTTGAGATTTGATAAATTGCTAATAAATTCAAAAAATATATATTATAGGTGTTTGGATGTTTTGGTACAGTCAACAAAAGATATTCTACAAAACAAAAAAATCGTTCCACACCTGAATATGACGACACTTGTCGGCAATACTATGCATAGTCAAAAGTATGGTAATGTTGTGGTCATCAATAAAGGAGTTTAGACTTAGGTAACTCCACGTTTCTCCTTATCGAAGAAAGTTGTGCCTTTACCAATCTGATCACCTAAGATTGCAAAATTAATCACTAGTGGGGCCAATGAATACTAAGACGGTGTAAATAGGGAAACAAGAACACAAGTAATCTCTAAATGGGGTATGGAATATTAATAGTAGATAGGCAAAGAAGAATAAAGATAATTGCTAAAAGAAATTCTTTGTAAGAAACAATAAAGCGGAGATTATCACTTTGGGGTATTTTCTGCGACTGGACAGGGGAAATAGAAGAAGTTGCCAAAGCAAATTTATTCTCTCGGAAAATAATCTTCTTTAGTACTATTTGAAGCCTAAACAATGTCTATTTCATAACCGCATCAATTCTAACTAGTATTGTATTAGAATTGTTGACAATTTTAGTTCTATTAGTAGTAAATAACTTGCTGAGCCAAGCCAGCGATTTAAGGACAGTATACTTACGAATGAATATTATTCACTAAACCAAGAGAAATTAATATAGAGACTAATTCGTCCTGGATCATAGAAGTTATTTGCTGCTGTTATGATGTAGACTACTATTTTTATCAAAAAATTGAAAATTGTGCGAAATCTGGAAATGTTCCATTTTTGCTAGTTCATTGCAATCATAGCTAAAATAAGAAATTTATCGTAAACATCAGCCAAAACTAAGAATAGATCAATTTGTTTTTCATTACATCTAGATACTAAACTGTAATGGTATTGGCAATTTACGTCTTTTCAATCTAATTTATCCTTATGGGTCTTACGCGATATAGATCAGCATACCAAATTTGTTGCCATACCAAATAAGTTCAATTAAATCTACAACTATCTTTCAAGATTACTACATTTCTTAACTACTTCTTCTTAAAGATACTATCTCAATTCTTGAAAGTGTATAATGACTGATATTCATATTAAAAAGCTTACTTTAAAGTTCAATAGCACTACTACGGTCTGCAAGTTTCCTATTCCGAAGAATGAGCAAAAATTGGCCTTCTGTAACTACGATTCAACATACTTGAACGACAAACAAAGCATAATCAATACCCTAATTGGCGATGATTGCATTATCCATAGCTACCCGCACGCCTTCATAAATAATATCCTCACCGGATCGGCTTACAGTGTCTCAATTAGCTACGTGATCAACTGTATCGATGATTTGCACACATTAGTTAAGATACTAGCATCAATAGAAGGTGGTATTCTTGACTCTAGGTTTTCTCTAGAAATCTTCTCCAATTCTTCTGTCTTCAAGCAGTACATTATTGCATATGCCGCAAAAAGCTTACAAAATTGCAAAATCTATATACATTAGTTAGCCGTCTTATTAATATACAACGCCATTGAAATAATATCCTCCATTTGAAGCAGCCATAATAAAGACATGCAGCTTCTGGTCACGAAAATTCCTTCGCTTTTTGTTCCTTGCATGTAATTGTTTGTATAGCTCGAAAATTATTGACAAATTCTCTAAAGAATCATTTATTTTCTGTGCACCTTGTCGGAGTTTTAAGGCCGTATGTTAGCCGTCCCCATCCCGACGTCAGCTTAAGTCGTTTCTTAGACGAAGCTCGTCTACGAAGAGGGTTAGCTTACCTAAGCAAATATTTGAGCAACGAACTCTGCAAAATGGCCTAGTATAGATATTCCTTTGGTTTAATAAACTCTTCTTGAAGAGCTTTGTGTTAGTATCTTTCATTATAGAAAGAGAAGGTAAGTCTCATCTCAACGAAGAAATAAAAGGGAAAGGAGGACACCAATCAATTAAAGCTGAAGTTAGTGTAGATAATTAGTTATTCCAGATCCTATATTCCAATCACGCTCAAGCGCAGTCAGCCTACAAGCAATAATATATCATAGAGGTGACAATAACTTAAACAAATTCTGCATTTGCAGTCAATCAAACCAATATGGCGAAACGGGAGAATTCAATGTCAGGGTCTTCTGGCAACGATGCAGGCGCGAGACTGAGTCTATTGAAAAGTGCATTGTTGTCTACTACCGGCGGATCCACAAGTGAGCAGTCATCAGGCATTACAGGAACAAGTTTTACGCCTCTGCCGACGATGTCGTCTCCTGAAGATATGCAGCACTCAGGTGGTATTACATTTCAGGGACAGAGCCCTGCAGATCAAGGCGCTTCTGGCGTAATCACAGGCGAAAGCGAACGTGTATTGAAAGGTGAAAGTTCTAATAGTTCTAGCTCGGGAGATATTATGGCTGCGAGTACAAACTCCAGTACTACTTCTAGTGGAAATCAGTCGTTGGAAGGAGGGATGCCGAAAAAATATTTCTGTAAGGTATGTGATCAAGGTTTCACGCGTAAGCACAACATGGCAAGTCATGAATTGATACACTCTTCTTCGAAACCGCATGTTTGCCGAATGTGTGATTCGAGATTCAGACGCATACATGATTTGAAACGTCATGAAAAACTACATACTGGAGAAAAGCCATTCCATTGCACTAAATGTACGAGAAAGTTTGCAAGACCTGATGCCCTTATAAGACACCAGAACTCACCAAATGCTTGTTCAGGAAATGCCCACTCCATAAATCGGACTGGCGGAACGTATTTTTCGCATATTGTGCCTACTGGTAGTGGTTCAGTATCAGCAATGTCTTCGCCAACAACGAATACAGATTCTAGGAACCGAGATTCAGATTTAAATAGGTGGAAAATACTTCAAAATGATACTCAAAGTTCGCCACCATATCAAGCATATCCACATACACATCCGCCAAATAATGAGGTCAAGGCGCCCACAATGATTACAGCGAATACTAGATCCATGTCCGATAATGAGCTGCAAGCGCAGCAGCTCAATGAATACTATCATTCAGAAAGTCGAGAGCCTTACCTATCTTTACAGAACCAATATTCACCACCGCATGCGAGCCCTCCGTATTTACTGTACATACCGCATGTATCAAGTACTCATCCTCCCCAACTGATCAACGCACCTATGCTTCCTAATAATCAAGCGAATCAACCTCCTGGTCCACAACGTGCTACAATTCCTACAGGTTATGTCACCATTTCAAAATATCAAGATCTAGTGGCCTACACAAATAAATTACAGGAAAGATTAGCCAAGATGGAATCTAGACTCAAATATTTGGAAGACAATTCTACTAACTGGCAGAAGGAAGATGAGGTTTCCGACGATCCGAAGAGGGCCTAAAACGATAATACGGATGGTGGGGTGCAACACGATAATAGGTGTAATTGAAATACGATTCACTAATTGATACTTGAGGTATATTTAATAGATTATTTAATTGTATATTATATCATATGGCTTCCATATTATTCCAGAGTAATCTAAATAATGAATCGTATTTTGCATCCAGTCGTCGCAGAGCAATATATTATATTATACGTTCTCTCACGAGTTTTTAGCAAGACCCCCTAGAGGCTTAACTTTCTACATCCCCATAATAACTCACATATGGATGCCAATACTCTCATACGATTGCCGTACCTTCTGGTGTAGTATGAGAGCTTTAACAGTTGTATGCACAGGAGCTTAATTATACATATTAACTGAGACATAATTACCTGCAGTACGTTATCGCTATCAGCTAGAATTAATTAAGGGGATAATAAGGGAGGCAAAACTGTTACATTTGTAGCAGAGCATAGATTTGACGAATACGTAATTTGAGTACGTTTTAATATTAGTATACAAATATTATTCAATAGTAAGGAGGTATTAACTTTTTGAGAGTTAAATTTAAGTAAAAGCGATTGGCACAGAATTTATGATGCAATCTATTCACAATGATGAAGACTGGTCAATAATTTCATCATCTTCGGATATGGATGATGACCAGTCAACTGGTAGTTCGGCGCTTGGAAGTAGCAAAGAACTAAGTTTAGACCAAGATAAAGAAGTTTCTAGCGTTGGAACATTAAAACTACCAGTAATTGCCCCGGATTTTGAAACAACAAGCAGAATTGAAACAGCTAAGAGCCCTAAAAAGCCTATAGTTGAGCCCATTATAGAGGATACTTCACACGATGAGGATAGACATATTGATAATGTGATCAGATTTTATGAGAATCTTTCTTTTAAAACAGGAAAATGGAATGATTCGATTAAGCAGAAATCAAGCGAGTTCTACCAGAACGTAGCCAAACTGAGGCTCGAACAATTTAATAAGTTTATTTCGTCCAAAGATGCCATAGATACAGCAAGTGATAAAGCAAGCGACAATAATGATGTCAAAAGGGATGTTGGAGCATTAGATATCGTGGATATTGCCGAGGCACAACGGGAACTGACAGATGATCGCAAATGCAAATCAAATTGTGGTTTCAAACTTGCAGCATTGCAAGATTTCATGGAGGAGAATTCGGAATATTTATTTTATTACTTCGTCAGCAGCATTTTAGGAGTAGTCTCATTGCTTGGATTATATTATAATGTCAATTGGAATTCAATATTAAGTCATCAAAAGCAACTGCCAACACCATCAGTATTGATGACAACTTTGAGTTATTTTGATCAGACAGCGTTGAAGTGTAGGAACTACTTGGAGGGTCTATTCTATGAAGATTCATATCCAACATCAAAATATTTCGGCTTATATCAAGTGGCTCCTTCGAAAACAATTAAATTTTCTAAAAAGATGAATACTTGGAAAGAATATGATTATGCACGGTTAATTGAATATTTGAATATCATGAAACATAATAGAATCATTAATTTCAAAGCATGGTATAATTGCATTAGTCAGAATCAGTCTGCTAAGCTTATTCACTTGTGGCATCACTTTAAGCTGCGGTATATTGTGAATCTGTATGACTTGATTTCCTCTGAATTGCATCAAATACCCGGTTATATAAAGCTTGCAAATAACTCGCTATTGGGTTCGCTTGATAGATATTGGAAGAAGAATTTTATGGGATGTATTCTTCATAAGGCTAAATTCAACGTTGATAAGACCGCGAGATATATTTACAGATCAAGTTACCCTCTTCGAAAGCTTGTTGCTGATTCAATGAATGTTTAGTTGAACAATAACAACCGCTTCTTTATAATATTTTTAAGATATAATCTTCTCTTTATATCTCCCAACAAATGGCTTCTGGTAATTCCTTGGGCATGGTTTTGATTGTTTAGGTTTTCAATTGTTTTTTTTATTTTTATTTTTGGTTTGGTCTATGGTTATGGTTGGATATTTATGGTTTGGTATAATCAATTAATCATTTAATTTAGATTATTTGGGTAAGAATCCATTTATTTGTTATCTACGTTGGGATATCTCTAATATATGTTTTAACTCGTTCATATTGTATAAGAAGATAAAAGTCGTGCGCGAATTGTAATATTGGACGATAAATTTCAACTATCAAATACTCCAAGTAGCATATAATACTATCTTTTGCTACTAAATACTATAAATTTGAAGTAAATTTATTATAATTCTAACATATATCATTCATAATGGGTAAGTACTATTACAATTTGAGTTTAATTTCTGCCTCATTTATTAGGCTACATATTAATTGAAATCTTGTAAATTCGATACTAACTATAAAACAGGTATTCCCAAATTTTTTCGGTTCATTTCAGAAAGATGGCCATTGATTTCCCAATTAATCGATGGGACTCAAATTCCAGAGTTCGACAATTTATATCTTGATATGAATTCGATTTTACATACATGTACACATTCCAATGATGATACATTCTCAAGGTTAACGGATGATCAAATGTATGCTGCAATCTTTTCTTACATTGAGCATTTATTTGAAATCATTAAGCCACATAAGGTCTTTTATATGGCTATTGATGGGGTTGCGCCAAGAGCAAAAATGAATCAACAAAGAGCTCGTAGATTCAGAACTGCGTTTGAAGCAGAAGAAAACATGAAAAATGCTATTGAAAAAGGACTTGAAATCCCTAAAGACGATCCATTTGATTCTAATGCGATCACACCAGGTACTGAATTTATGGCTAAGTTAACCGATAACTTAAAGTACTTCATTCATAAGAAGATATCTGAAGATTCCAGATGGGCCAACGTTAAAATTATTTTGAGTGGCCACGAAGTTCCAGGTGAAGGTGAGCATAAAATTATGGAATATATTAGAACAATGAAGAATCAACCCAATCATGATCCCAACTCAAGGCATTGTATTTACGGTTTAGATGCTGATTTAATTATGTTGGGCTTAGTGTCTCATTATCCACATTTTGCTTTATTGAGAGAAGAAGTTACGTTTGGACCAAGAGGTCAAAAACAAAGTAATGAATTAACTGATCAGAACTTTTACTTATTACATTTATCTTTATTAAGAGAGTATTTGTCATTAGAATTTCAAAATTTGGATAATCAATTAAGCTTTGAATATAATTTCGAAAGGGTTTTGGATGACTTTATCTTAATTATGTATGTCATTGGTAATGATTTCTTACCTAACTTGCCGGACTTGTTTATAAATAAAGGGGCATTTCCATTATTATTGGAAACATTTAAACAAACATTGCAACAATCAGATGGTTATTTGAACGAAAATGGTACAATCAATTTAAAAAGATTGAATATTTGGCTCAATTTCCTTTCTGAGTTTGAATTAGAAAATTTTGAAAAGCAAGATGTTGATGTTGAATGGTTCAATAAAAGATTAGAGGATATTTCAATTACTGGTGAGAAGAAAAGAGAGCGCATGGGTAAATTGTTAATATTAAAAGATCAAAAGAAGTTAGTTGGTATGATAAAACCTTGGTTACTAGAAAATTCGTCGAAAAAGGTAGATGAATTAGTTGCATTAGCTAATGAAGATAAATTACCACAGTTGAAACTTCCAACAGACGAAGCGACAAAAGATCTAGAATTTTTGAAAACCTTTGCGTTAGACGCTGGTATTGTTATCATTCATTCTAAGTCTGAAGATACTTTTACAGCTAAATTGGACATTGATGGATTATCACCATATGAAACCGAGGAAGAACACAATGAAAGATTAAATGAGCTTAGAAAGATTATTAAAAAGTATCAGTCTGCGAATTTGTTTGAAACTGACGAAATATTAAAAGAATCTAAGGATATTTATGATACGAAGTTTATGAACTGGAAAGATAAGTACTACAAGGAAAAGTTACATTTTTCAATTTATGAAACGGATAAAATGGTCGAATTCACTCAGCATTATTTAGAAGGTTTACAGTGGGTTTTGTATTATTATTATAAGGGTTGTCCATCTTGGAATTGGTATTTTAGATACCATTATTCACCAAGAATCTCCGATATATCGATTGGATTGAATGAGTTCTTAAAGACAAATACAGGCATAACTTTTGAAAAATCGAAACCATTCAAGCCTTTCGAGCAATTGATGGCCGTCTTGCCAGCTAGATCAAGAAAATTAATGCCATTAGTTTATAGACCACTTATGACAGATCCTCATTCCCCAATAATTGATTTTTATCCCCATGAGGTTGATATTGATAAGAATGGGAAAAGTGCTCCTTGGGAAGCGGTCGTTTTATTGTCATTTGTTGATGAAAATCGATTGATCGATGCTTTGAAGCCAATTGAGGCACAACTTTCCCCAGAAGAACTGAAAAGAAATAGTATCGGCAAGGACATTGAATTTATCTTTAACCCTCAAATTGACTACGTGTATCCTACTCCATTACCAGGATATTTCCATGACCTTGAGCACGACAAATGTATCGAAAATACATTTTTGTTACCTACAGTCGAAGGTGAGGTCAAGATTGAGTTAGGAGAAAATGCGTTGTTAGGAAAGGATTCATTAGCTGGGTTTCCTACTTTAGAGACTATCCCATTCAATTTTGAATTGTCTTTACATGAAATTAAGGTATTCCAGAATCCATCAAGATCAGAATCAATGATCTTAAGTTTAGAGAATATGTGGGATGATTTATCAATATATCAATTTAGTCAGAAGTTTGTAAATAAAGTTGTTTATACCAAGTGGCCATTCTTGAGAGAATCAAGAGTTGTTTCAGTCATGGATAGAGAATTTAAGTATGAATCTTTGAAGATCCAAAATTCTAGGAAGGTTGTATCCACCCCATTAAGTCAAGACGAAGCCAAGTCCTTTTATCAAACAGCAAGATCAATCTCGGATACCTACGAAAAAACAAAGGGTATTCAATTAGGGGATATTGAAGGATTGGTATATGTTCAACCAGTTACAGGATTAATTCGTAACGAAAAAGGAGCATATGTGAAGACATTCTCAAAGGATACTGAAATTTACCCTATCCAGTTAGTAGTAGAAGAAGTGACTAACGAAGATGCTAGATTTGCAACGAGGCCACCATTGCCTATTGATGAAGAGTTTCCACTTGAATCTCAAGTTGTATTTTTGGGAGCTTTTGCATATGGCACACCGGCCACCGTTGCAGGTTATACTGGTAATGATAAGGTCAATGTCAAGATTTCCAAAATCCAATCAACAAATGAACCAAATATTGGTAAAAGAAGGTTGGATATTGAAAATAAGGAAATTAGATATTTGCCTTCTTTTGAAGTTTCTAAGAAGTTGAGATTAAATGCATTATTTATGTCTAAGATTACTTCTGGATATATGCTTGAAAATGATTTTAATAACAAGAGACGTGTTAATATTGGCTTGGAATTGAAGTTTGAGGGTCGTCGTCAAAAGGTTTTAGGGTTCACCAGGAAGGATGGTAAAGTATGGGAGTTCTCACCGTTAGCAATCCAGTTAATTACTGATTATCGCTCAAAGTTCCCGAAATTATTCAAATCATTGCAAGAAATAGACCAAAAGGCCATTCCAAAAGCGTCATCAGTTTTGAATAATGAGAGTGAATTACAGGAGGTTACAAAATGGTTAAAAGATGTTAAGGCTCAATTGATGAAGGTATCTTTAGAATCTGAATCTTTTACTAAATTCAGTTTTGAAGCTATTGAAAGTTATATGGAACACTATATTGGACAAACTATTCCATATACCAATAAGGATATTAAAGGCGTACCAAAGAGTGCAGTATTAGATCCAAGCGAGTCATATCAATTATTGAGTACCCAGAGATTTGAACTAGGTGACAGAATCATCTATGTTCAAAAGTCTGGTAAAGTTCCTTACTTATCAAAAGGTACAGTTGCTTCCATTACTTCATTTGGCCCTAAAAACTCATTGGGTGTAATTTTTGACTACCCATTAATGAGTGGTAACAACATGAACGGGAAGTTGAAAACTAACAGGGGTTTAATTGTTGACTCATCCTTGGTATTGAATATAACTAACAAGCAATTAGTGTATCATAGCAAAGCTTCGAAACAGAAATCAAAACCATTGGATGAAAATGAGAAGAAACAGAGATCTAGAGAAATAGCTCTTGCAAAAAAACAAAAACAAGAATTGGAAAATGCAAAGAAACAAGCTAATTCTGAAAAGACTAATGAATTATTGAATTTATTGAAAAAATCTGATCGCGCAAATAAAAGTGGTGCTGAGGAAGCTAAGCTTAACTTAAACAAAGAAGCTGGTGATAAAAACGAAAATTCTGGACATGAAGAAGAGCTGAGACTTAATTCTAATGCGATTAGACATATTTATGGTCAAATTTATTCGAATGTGATGAATGAAGGAGCTATTCCTCCTCAACAAATGCCATATGGTGTTCCAGTTGTACCAGGAATTCCTTTGCCACCACAATTTTTCCAGCAGCCACCAAATCAATTTCAACAACAGCCACAACCACCAGCACTGCAAGCACCTTCCCAGCAACAACAGGAACAGAATCCTTCCTCTCAACAATCGTCGCAGAACCGTGAAAATGGTAGAAACGAGAGAGGCAGAGGAAATAGAGGTAATTACAGAGGTAATGGCAGAGGCAGAGGTAGAGGAGGCAGAGGAAGAGGTAAGCCAAATTAATAACCTGGTTTATTCTTTCATATAGTATTTGTATGATATGGATGTAGGTTGTACAATAAAAGTCTTTAATCTCAGTTTGTTAAATGTAGGTTACGAGTCAGTTACGTATAAACCCACGGTTAAACAGCTACAGCTAAAATTCACACTATAATTTACTATTCAAAGTATTAATTCAGTAGCTATGTACAAGGATTATCAACTATATAATATATACATCTTTTAATTCAATCTTTCGACTTTCTAACATCACCACCAGCCAGTCTGTTAGTCTCAGACTTACCCCCTTTCAAATCTTGACTACTGCTTATTCTTGGATTGGCTCCATTCTGATTCTTTGGGCTGTCTGTAGTGTCATTAGGCAAGTTAACCAATCCTAACGAATCCCATTCCGATTTATCCATTAATTGGTTATCCATTCTGCACTTTAAGTAGTTTTTGGCCAAAACTCGACAGTTAGGCGCGTTCAGATTTTCGGTGAATTTCATGCATTTCAAGTAATCCATCATTTGTTGCTTGCATTCACCATCATGATCCAATGGAAATGATCCTCTTTCAGGTGGTGTTGGCGACCATCTACTAAATGAATTTCCTAGAAACACTGTTAGTTTTTAGTCCTTAATACTTAAGGCGTAATAATCATATCAAAACATACCTGGAGCTCCGGTAGCCATTATTGTTTGTTCAGTTAATTTCTACCATACTGTACAATCTTGTAAGACTGATATTTCATAGGGAAGTAAAATGTCGTACATAAATGTCGTCATGCAAAATATCGTACAAACATCGCACAAAAATACCGCACCCCATGTCGGTAAAGCCAACGGGTAAAATGTCGTCCAAGGCGCTTAAATCACAATGTCGCAAACACATAATCGCGGTTCACAAACCCCATACGGTGTTTACATGCGGTGCTTTGATTCGAAATTTATCCGAGTGGATTCGGACGAATGGATAGTCTATGCGTTTGCACCGTCTTGTGATTCTTAGTAAACACATAAAAATTTGGGGCATATTTTTCATAATACAGTGAACTAAGTCCAAAAAGTCATATCTTATGGCCATAAATAATGAATTTGCCGAGGATATGCTAAAAGACTCGAAGAAACGACTTCATAAGACTATGTATTCACTATTTTACTGACATGTTTGACTGTCGGGCTTAAGATGACTCAATTAAAAGAAATTGGAGCGTTACACAAAAACGGCGGAAAACGAAATTTTCTATGTGGAGATTGTAATGAAAAATACATTTGAATGGTTTCATTCATCTTTATTATACAAATATATATATATAAGTATATACGTGAGTTCAGGCAATTAGAATCGACCATATTAGTTGTTGATTTTGATCATTGAAGGAAGATTGAAATATAAAAGAGAGATTTCCCCAGATTTATACCAATACACGCCATTAACTGAAAAATTTCAACAAACATATTGATTCAGTTCCCATTTGTTTTTGTTATTTATTTGTTTGATATTATAGAGACATTGTTTATGTATTAGACAATTTGAAAAGCAATATAGTATAGATATATAAAGTTGATCATGTCGCATGAACTGAAAGCCAGAGAGATTTTTGATCAATTTGCATCAGTTAACCCGAAGTTAAACCCGGATGAAAAGACATTGAATCTTGACCAATTCACCACGATTTTGGCGCCATTCTCGTCTGATGTTCCAAGAGATTCGTATTCGTTGTTATATTTAGCAGCCGACCATGAACGTAAGGGATACATCGACGAGAAAGATTGGGTGAAGTTTATTAAAATCTTAACGTCCAAAGATGGTGAATTCAAGTTGACCTTCAACCTTATTGGTAAGGATACGGCGGCAGGAGGTAAAATCACCTATACCGAATGTATCGAGAAATTGAACAAAATCAACAGGGCAATCGATCCATCCTACCAACAGAAGACGGTAAAATTGAATTGGACTTATTTTACCAAGTTCTTTGCTCCCCATGGTTTCATTGAATATAGTGATTTTATCACTTTAATCAATAATTTGCCAATCACAAAGTTGATCGGTAATTTTGAAATGGTCGCCGGGAAGTCCGGTGTTATTTCTGATAGTGAATTGTATGACTTGTTAACGAGAAACCTCAATCATAAATTATCGTACAAATTGAGACACAATTTAATCACTTTGCCAGAGTACTTTGATAAGAAGCAATTCACATTGAGCAATGTGCTATTTATTTATAACTGTTTGAATAAGATCGACCTTATCAACGAAGTTATTGCTAATACTCCACCAACTACTAGCGATAAAGAAGATATTTTAATTGACAAGAATGACTTATACAACCACCTTAATGATCATTTATTGAAGTCTTCAAACTTTAAACCTGTTTCAACTCCGGAATTAGATTTATTATTTCACTTGATTAATAAGAATGAAGAAACCATTCCTCGTAAAGAATTGATTTCTGTCTTGAATCCAAACTATGATAATAACTACAAGACATTGTACTCAATCTTTGAGCATCCTGCAGCACAACCTGTTCAGGATGATAATTTTTCCTTATGGCCTATTTTTGATTCATTGTACTCCTTTTTCTTAGGTTCTATCGCAGGATGTATTGGTGCTACAGTTGTTTACCCAATTGATCTTGTTAAGACTAGAATGCAAGCTCAAAGACATAAGGCTGTCTATGCCAACTCTTTTGATTGTTTCAAGAAAATTATCAAGAATGAAGGATTAAAGGGGTTGTACTCTGGTTTAGGAGCTCAATTGGTTGGTGTTGCCCCAGAGAAGGCTATTAAATTAACTGTTAATGATTTAGTTAGAAAGATTGGTACAGATGACGATGGTAAAATTACGATGAATTGGGAAATTCTTGCTGGTATGTCTGCTGGAGGATGTCAAGTTATTTTCACTAATCCTTTAGAAATTGTTAAAATTAGATTACAAATGCAAGGAGGTGCTTCGAAGACGCTAAATCCAGGTGAAATTCCTCATAAGCGTCTCACTGCTGGGCAAATCATTAAGCAATTAGGTATGAAGGGTTTATATAAAGGTGCAAGTGCATGCTTATTAAGAGATGTTCCTTTTTCTGCTATATACTTCCCAACCTACGCTAATTTGAAAAGAATATTATTTAACTTTGATCCTAATGATGCAAACAAAAAGCATAGATTAGACTCATGGCAATTATTAATTGCCGGTGCTTTAGCTGGTGCTCCAGCTGCGTTCTTTACTACTCCAGCTGATGTGATCAAGACTAGACTTCAAGTAGAAAGCAAATCTCACGAAACTAAATATAATGGTATTGCTCATGCATTTAGAGTCATCTTAAAGGAAGAAGGTATTGGAGCTTTCTTCAAAGGTTCGATTGCCAGAGTTTTTAGATCTTCTCCACAATTTGGTTTCACTTTAGCATCTTATGAACTTTTGCAAAACTTGTTCCCATTGCATCCAGCAAATACAAAGGAATCCAACTTCAAAGCAATTAGTGGGTATCCTGGTGTTTACAACTTGACTAACGATCAAGTCTACAATTCTCAAAAGGGAAATAGACTCATGATGTTCAACAAAGATAAGTTATTTGAATCACATGGGTTGAGCTATGACAAGTCAGGCTTAAATGATGCATTGATTAAATTACCAGCCGAATATGTGTATAAATCGCAAGATACCATCAAATTGTTGTTGGATATTGATTATAAATTCGGTAACTTCAATTATAATTCATATTTGAATTATTTGTCTTTCAAACGTGGATTTTAATCGTTTTATGTTGTTTTATTAGTTAGTAATTTTATGTTTTAATGTGATTAGACGTCTTTATTCTTGTTTCTGCTTTTTAAAAATGAATTATGAAATTTAAATAGTATATATATTTAACAATAGAATCATTTATAATCATTAAATAAGTAGAATTCCTCCTAATATATACAATATTCACATTTAGGTCTATCAGGATATTATGTGAGGTTTCTTGAGGTTATAGGGAAATAGTATTACCTTCAATTTCACAGATGCTGTTTGTTGCCACGAGGGAAGTCAGTAATCGTATGTGAATCTATTTTGCTGAACAAATTTATTCAAAATATCGACTTGGAATACAAATTCACCATTTTTATTCTTTGAACTTCTTATGCATTGCTTAATTCTCCTTTTTATTCTATCCTCCTGCCGCTCATCGATTATCCGATTCCGCAACTGTTGTTCTTGGGTATCAGGAAATTCACTGACCATAAATCCGGGAGGCGAAGGATATTTATCTAAGACCTGAGATTCTGATAATTCTATTGAGTCATTATCGCTTTCTATCACTTCATTATTCCATGTTAACTGGGTAACTTTTGGTAATGGGCCAGCCAATTGATAGAATTTATTGACATTATTTTGTGCATTTTTGGAAAGAGCAGTTCCCTTTATTTGGTTTGGCGTTACATAATTTGGGTTCGGTTTAAAATCGTTAATAATCCAGTCCATTTCATTTATAGGATTGGAATTGAGGTTGATCTTGAATTCAGGAGAATTCTTAAATTTTGATTCGTAGTAATCTTTCAAGTATGCTCTCCTCTGTAGCTTTGTATAATGCGTAGGAACTTTGGGATATGTTTGTGACTGTGATTTAGAATTAAACTTAGATGTAATATCTTCGAGTGGCTCTCTTTTAATTTTAGTTGGTGGCTTTTTGATTAGGTCAAGGCTATCTAGTGGGAACTCGTCTTGTGAATCTTCTATTTCATCAAAGTTTTCTTTATTTTCTTCTTTAATTACTATTTTTGACGCCTCGCTCTTAGGCTCCAGTTTTTTGGAGAGATCTATTTCATCTTCGTTGTCTTGCGATGAGTATTGAGTTGGCAACATATCAAACTGTGATTCGGTGTAGTCATTCCTATCAAATGGTTTTCCTTGATACATTAACCTAGGTGAACCATTTTCATCTTTATTATAAGCTGGTCGTTCGATAGAAGCATTCGAGTCAGACGAAAGCTGTGTAGGTAACAGCAAAGAATTGCTTATGGCATTATGTTTTGAATCTGCACCGTGTTGTGATGGCTTCGCTGTCTGGCTCAAGGGCGAGTCTTCTTCTGAAATAGTTTCATCTACCTCACTCAATTTACGTTTTTTGTTGGTAAGCGGAGTCATTGGTAACCTTTCTCTCGAATTTAATACCTTGTCCTTCTGGACCTTGCTCTTTGGTGGTATTCCAATGTGTTGTATGATTTCTTGAAATTCATTATTTATTGTTTCTAATTCGTTAGCTTCATCTCTCAATGCCTGAATGTCCGATTTATATTGTATCCTAATAGATCTTAGCTCACTTTCTTGTCTTTCAAGCTTTGCTTTTAGTTCTTTATTCTCTTGTAATATATCTTGTATCTGTCTTCCTACAAGTTCATGGTATACCTCAATTGTTTCAGGCAGTTCTCTCATATTGATATTAATGGATTTTGCATAATAGATTTTTGTATGATATACGTCAGATGCTACCGTGTGGCTCTAAGTATGCGTTATTAAGCTAGTAATAAGTTGTATACTTTGTTAAGGTGATTTGTTTATCTTCTAGAAATGAGATTTTGTGTTCCATTTTTTTTTCACGAGTAAAAACTTCATTTCAACCAAAACATATATACGAATCGTTCACAACATCAGAGGAATCTAAATCAAAAGAATATACAATGTTTGGCTCTACTACTGCCAATTCAACTGCTCCATCTTTTGGAGGGTTTGGTAATACCAACAATAGTAGTGCAAATGGTGGATTATTTGGTAATGCCAATAAACCACCAGCTGCGAGTGGTGGTGGATTATTTGGATCATCTAGCAATGCTACTAATACAAACACCACAAATTCTACGGGCGGTGGATTATTTGGAGGTAATAACACGAATACAAGTAGTGGATTTGGTACAGGAAACTCTACACAACAGAGTGGGGGACTCTTTGGTAATAAACCTTCTAGTACAACGGGAGGAGGTTTATTTGGATCTTCTACTAACAATGCAGCTCCTAGTGGTGGATTATTTGGAGCAAATTCGAATACAAATACTAATAATACCAGTGGGGCAACAGGTGGAGGGTTATTTGGATCATCAAATACTAATACGAACAATGCCAATCAGCAACAAGGCGGCGGTGGTTTATTTGGAGGAGCCAGTAATACAAGCCAGCAACAAAGTGGTGGTTTATTTGGAGGTGCCAGTAATACAAGCCAGCAACAAAGTGGTGGTTTATTTGGAGGAGCCAGTAATGCAAGCCAGCAGCAAAGCGGTGGGTTATTTGGAGGAGCCAGTAATACAAGCCAACAACAAAGTGGTGGATTGTTTGGTGGTAATGCTAATACCAATCAACAACAGCAACCACAACAGGGTGGTGGATTGTTTGGATCAAAACCACCTGCATCATCAGGCGGATTATTTGGTGGTAATGCTAATACTAATCAACAACAGCAACCACAACAGGGTGGTGGGTTGTTTGGATCGAAACCACCTGCATCATCAGGTGGTCTATTCGGAGGCAGCTCTAACACCATGAATCAACAATCAGGTGGACTTTTTGGTAGTAGTAACACCAATCAACAATCCGGTGGCCTTTTTGGAGGAAGTACAGGGGCCCAGCAATCTGGTGGGTTATTCGGGTCGTCTTTGAATAAACCAGTTGGAGGAGGGTTACTCAATAACCAACAGCAACAGCAACAACAACAGCTGCTGCAGTTGACAGCCATGACCAGAGTAGGAGATTTACCAGAACCAATCAAGAGAGAATTGCAAGAATTTGATAAGTATATTAACACACAACACCTCATTGCCACAACACTACAGTCAGATTTATCCAAACATGATAGGTTAATTACGTCTATTCCAAAAGATACCAGTTATTTGTATACTAAATTATCCTCCACTAAACAAGCATTAAAGTTCGATTCAAACCAATTGTTAAATTTGAAAGAAGTCAATAATGAGTTGATCGAAGATATAAATAAAATAATGCAGCTCATCATTCAACTATCTACTCCAGGAACAAAGTTATCGTCATCATTCCAATTAAATGAATTTTTCATTAAGAAGATAAAAAAGTATCATGATGTATTGAACAACTACGAACAAATTGTAAACGAAGCAGAACAAGTCATAAGTGGATTGGAAAGACTGTGTGTCGATGGATTTGGAGGCTTGTTTAATATTATTGAAGTTATAAAGTCACAGTATAATTTGTTTATGGAATTATGTGAAACGATGGCTCAGTTACATAATGAAGTAAACAGAATAGCTAAATAGAAGACTGGATATATTGGAACAAACTTACCAATACTTGTGAAATATATAATTTAGACAACTAGGAATGTGTAACAGTATAATATGAAGACCATTGTAGATATATAAGTCTGATTGTAGAACCGAATACAGTGGATGTATAGAGAAGAGCTGCAACAACCGATTTTGTGTAATTGATGCGTATATATACAAAAATGCATCAACTTTCCATATTTAGTTCATTAATCATAGAAATAAGTATGTCTCGAGCTGACTATCTCTCAAAGTACCTAAGTAAAGATGACAAGAAGAAGAAGAAAAAGCTGAAACACAAGAAATCAACAAATGTTGTTATGGAGGAGGATTTATTAGATGCTGATAATTACGACGATGAGATTGAGGAGACTCCAATACCTGTGATACTACAATCGGAACCAAAACAATATAAAGGGTTCAAGAGGATAGATAATGGCGAACAGGTATCACCAGAAACACAAATAGCTATGAAACAAGACATGCCTCCTCAGCAAGAAACTGTTTACAGAGATAAATCAGGAAACATAGTGGACATCGAAACAAAAAGAAGGCAGATGCAGCTCGAAAAGGAAAACGAAGAAATACGAAAGCGGGAATTAGAACAGAGTATAAACCAAGGTGATTTACAGAAAATTGAAGAGGCTGAGACTGCGGCCAGGTTGGTCCAAAATAAGTCCTTCCTGGTATCGACGAGGGACACAGAGTATAACGAGTTCATGAAGTCGAAACAGCGATTCGACGACCCTTTGCAGTCATTTTCGAAGCAGAAACAGACGGTAGCCACGTCAAAGACAGGCAAAATGTATTATAATAAAGGAATATCACCACCCAATCGCTTCGATATAAGAGCTGGCTTTTTCTGGGATGGAATCGATAGGTCTAATGGTTTCGAAGATCTTATCGTTCGCAAGCGAAACGAAATGTCGTACACCAAAAGAGAGGCATCAGATACATATGATTTGGATTTGGAAGATGATCTAGATTAGTAAATTATATTATTCACTTGCCTGCCACCCATCTCGTAACTTTTCACCTCGTCACTCATCTATAGCATTACCATCACCATAAATATCGCCACTGTCCCCATTATCGTGTCCATTGCTCCTTGGATCCGGCCCCCTCTTGTATAGTCTTATCATACGCTAATTCTCCAATTCCGGAACTGTATATATTTTTTGCATTGTTCCCCAGAGGTGTAACTACGAGAAGATCACCACTATGCCCGGACCTAAAATCACAGGTACTCACTTCAAACCAGTCCACCCCTCGCTAGTGAATCATCCATCGAGCGTTTATGTCCGTAGATCATGAACCAATCAACAGTATCCCAATCTGCTATCCATCATCTATATAATTACACTCGCTCTAAATCATATGAACCTCCTGTCTGTGCCGGAGTGCCGAGGGCGCACCGCAGCCATTTTCAACAGGTTTCTGGTCTAGTCCGACCCATATTCTTGATCGATGGTTCTAGTTACTTTGTCATGAACATCGGTGGACCCTCCAACCTTCTATTGCGTAAGATGTCACCGTACACATATCCTCCGCCATGATTACTATTAATAGTCCTGGAATGCCCCTAATCATAGTTGCCGCAATTTGCCGGTGCGTTGGAGCACAGGCCATCCCGATAGAACGATTCCACATTGGGCTACAATTTACCTACAATAGCCTACTTTGTATGTGTCCCTGTATATCCCTTCTATCTACCTACCAACTTGTACCACATACCATACCACAACCCTACACCTATCGTACTCCCTGACGTGTTCTCGTGATCGTGGTGCCTTTTGCCAATTTGCCAATCCTGTTCTTGTGTACTTGCGTTTACTGCGTAGCATTCTTGGTTATTTCAGGCATTGTTGCAGCTATTATTACATTTTTTGTCCTCCAGTCATTCCTCTCTTCATTCTTCCCTCTGGCACCTCCAATTTGGCTTACAATTTTATATTCTTGCGCTGTTACCACCGGGTATGTATAAGGGACACGCTAGCATTAGAGTATCAAGCCATCTCGTTTTTTCCTTGTATGTAGTATTGCGACATGCAATTCACCTGAAAAGGAGTTATCTTTAAATGAAAGGTTTCTAGGAGCGTTGTGGTATTTCTGCTTTTAGAGGCTATACGAGCACCGGTATTACTCAAAGCACACCATGCTTTGTACCGACAACTCTTAGACCCCCGACTAGACTACAAGTTGCTACTACGATTTAACTGTTAGTTTTTGACTGCTAGTGGTGTACCGGAAACGTAGCAAGGCTAGTGCATCTCCGAGCGCACATAAATCCAGTTATTACAGATGGCAATTGTTCGTTTCCTAGATCAAATTTCTTTTAAAAGACTCTAGATCAATTATATTATTATTTTTTTTTAGGTGTTTTAGTTTTGTAAAATCAGGAAACACCCTTTAAATATGTGTTTTCAATAATTAGGATTTAATTTGAAGTTTATGATTTTGTAAAATATTTTATTTTAATATATATTATCTTTAGATCCTTAGAAATAGAATTTTATTATATATAGATTATATTTTTACATTGATCTACAAGCAAGAGGGCCAACATGTCAGATACTAGACACCAACAAAATTTATCTATAAACTCTATTAATTCGTTGATAGAGCCCACGACACCACCTAGTTTTGGCAAGACACTGATCTGGGATAATGGTGGTAAGGGGGCGGTATCTATGGGCGGGTACAACGGACTCAATAGTATGGGAGCCAGTGGGATCCATAGCTTGACAAATGGCGGTAATGGAGTTGGCGGGCAATTGGGAGGAAGTCTTTCAGGACCTAGCGGCGGCCAAATGGGCGGCATGGTTGGCGGAGCCACCGGAGCGCTCCAAGGAGCACACACGGGCGGCCATGGTCCAGGCGATCACAAATTGGATAAGGAGTACTTGTCGGGACTTAATAAGGTACCATTGGATCAATTGAAACTGGAGATATTAAAGTTGGCTAAGGATCAGTATGGATGTAGATTTCTTCAGAAGAAAATTGATGAGAATGTAACACCGAGCCCCCAGATCCGGATGGAAAATTTCAAGGTGATCTTTAAGGAAATCTACCCATATATCTACGAATTAATCATCGATCCATTTGGTAATTACCTTGTACAGAAATTGATTGACTACTGTGATGACTCGAATTTAAACCTCATTTTAGAAATTTTGCAATACAACTTATTTCAGATTTCCATTAATCAGCACGGAACGAGAGCGTTGCAAAAAATCATCAATAGCTTAAATAATGACTATCAATTAAGTTTGTTGATTAGTGGATTAAGTCCTTTCATTATCGAATTGATCAAGGACTTGAATGGTAACCATGTTATCCAGAAGATTCTTAACAAATATTCACCTGAAAATTGTCAATTTATTTATGATTCGATTATCAATGATTTGTTTGTGGTCGCTACCCATAAACATGGTTGCTGTGTATTGCAAAAGTGTTTAAATCACGTTAACAGCATGCAGTTAGTCCAGTTTAGTCAAAAGATTTTAATGTTCGATACGTTCCGTAAATTGACAAATGATCAATTTGGTAATTATGTTTTACAATACCTTATCTCAATCAACTCAATTTCCATCAACTTAAAGATGTATGAAAACTTTATTAAATTCGGTGTTAATAACTTGTGTAATTTGAAGTTTTCGTCCAATGTGGTGGAGAAATTTTTAAAGAATTGTTATGTTAATGAAGCTACTAATCCAGCTTTCTCCAACTTAAAACTTGATTTATGCTTACAGGTTTTACAAGGTGACTTAAACAAGATGATTAACGATCCATTTGGTAATTATGTGATTCAGACTTTGATAGATATTTTAGTCAACCCATGCATTAATTATACTAATCCTTTGAATGAAAATTTATTGGTGTTGTTGCCTTTAAACTTTAATGTCTCAAGCTTAACAAACCAACAAATCCAGATTGCAATCATCAAGAATTGGTTTGCTAACTGTAAGATTGTTTCAAGTTTTGGCAAGAGAATTCAGCTGAAAATCAATTCAATTTTGAATGGTACTACCACTAACAATAATAATAGCTCTTCGAATGCGGCTAATAATCAGACCGTTAATTTCAAGAACTATAATTATCCTGCTTTGAACATGAATGCCAATGGTGAATTTGTCAACTCAGAATTTCCTCCTCATTTGTCTCAACAGCCTCATAAGATGCACCAAAGAAATTTGTCAATTCCTTTGCAAACTGCACCATTTACTCCATTGCAAACAGTGACGGCTAATAATTATACTTTAGGTAATAATGTAAATGGTGGTGTTGTGACTCCAGGAAGCAATGAATCTCCATCTAACTTACTTACCCCCAATATGCCTAGTTACACACCTTTGTCAAATTTGAATGTTCCACATATGAATAATCATCTTTCCAAAAATCCAATGGCTAACGATTTTACGATCCAAAATCCCTATTTTAACGGAAACCCTGCTAATAACAACCAAATCAGTCCTCAATTTGTACTTTCTCCAAATATCAAATATTACCAAAATTAAAAACTCCACGTTGCATAATATTTTAGTTCTTGTATATGTTTTCCAGATTGAATAATTACTGCTATTCATGATTTTTTATTCCTTGTTCAAATCGGTTATATATATTTATTGTTGTTTACTATGTTCATATTGATAAAGTCTACATTGTTAAAAATTAAAAACAAAAAAAATTGTTACATCTTGTTCCATTTTATAATTTATTTAGGGATTGTATTATGTGTTATATTATAGTTAAAAATGTCATATTATTTACAAAAAAACATATTGTAACTATGAACGTCTCTTCTTCACCTTATCCCAAACTGATCCTGGCTTTCTCTTTCTTGATGTTTCTTCAAGTTTTCTACTATTGTTGAACATTGACCAATCTTCACCAGCAAATGTATTGGCCATATCACGTTGTTTTTGATGGAAAGATTTCTTAGTCATGGTATTAGGCAATCTAGTAAAGTTGTCTTCTTCATATCTTTGGATCTCTTTTTCCTTCTTCTTGTCAAAATCTGTCTTGACTCCCAGTCTTCCGTTATCTACAATAGTAGAACCGATGGAACTCTCTAATTGTGGTAAATCGGAATTTTCTCTTAAATACTCTTCCATACTTTGAAGCTTTCTAGTATTATTGGATTTAGTGTTTGTGGCAGTTGGATCTGCCTTTGGTGGAGCCATAGCCGAAATCTTAGGTGGCTTATATTTCTCAGCTGATTCACTAGGTTCGTCATCATCTTTCGATTCTCTTGATGTAGAATATTTGGATTTGGATTTGGATTGTGTCAACTTCGCAAGAGCGGCAGAATCAGGTCTATAGGATAATGCATCATCTTCTTCTTCACTTGATTCGTCGTCTTCTTCATCGTCATCACTACCTTGTTCGTTATTTTCGTTATTTTCTTCTGCCCTTTTTATAGCCAGACTTTCATCGGCTTCCATTCTATTGTAGGCCCTAACCATTTTGTCTAACTGATAGTTCAACTTCTTCTCTAATGGCTTAATACCCTTTTCTAAGCAAACTCTTTGTGTGACTGAATTTGCAATTGACTTCAATCTTGAATCTTCTATGCCGTCATCTTCTTCACTTAGTCTCTCTACATGTGCCAAAATAATTAGCACCAAATTATTCAAGTACGATAACAACGAATGACTTTTCAAAGATAATAATGATACGCCTTCAAGTTTGTCTATGTTCAACTTTTGTAACAAATTCTGGATCAAATCTGGGTAGTTTTCACCTTCATTATCACTCGTCTTCAGAATTGAGTCAATAGATTGTTTAGTTGCATCTAGGGACGTTATGATTCCCTTCAACAACTCATCCACGCTTTCTGTTTCTTTACTCATGCTATGCCTATGCTATATTATGCTACTTGAATTCTATATGAAGCTTGGTAGTTGTTTATGGTAGTAGGATTTATATTCGTAATATTTGAATGCTTATGTAATATCCTGAAAATTTTTGAGATGAGGAAAATACGATAGATAACATCTGACGGTTTTGTGTAATTTTTAAATTTTTTTTTTTACTAGAGCTGATATGAAAAATATGGTGATGGCTATAGAGATTCTTTTCATACTGTATTCGTCCAGACGTTCTAATTTTGATTTACAATGCCTCAAAACGAGTATATTGAACAGCACATCAAGCAGCATGGGAGGAGATTAGATTATGAAGAAAGAAAGAGAAAGAAGGAAGCTAGAGAAGGACATAGAATAGCTAAAGATGCCCAGGGATTGAAGGGATGGAGAGGTAAGCAATTTGCTAAGAAACGTTACAGCGAAAAGGTTGCTATGAAGAAGAAGATCAAGGCACATCAAGAATCCAAGGTCAAGGGCCCAGCAACACCTAAGGAAGATGATGGTGAAGCATTGCCTACCTATTTGTTAGATCGTCAAACTAATAATTCAGCTAAGGCAATTAGTTCTTCGATCAAGCAAAAGAGATTAGAAAAGGCAGATAAGTTTTCTGTGCCATTACCAAGAGTCAAAGGTATTTCTGAAGAGGAAATGTTCAAGGTTATTAAGACTGGTAAGCAAAAGTCTAAATCATGGAAAAGAATGATCACCAAGCACACATTTGTTGGTGAAGGATTTACTCGTAGACCTGTGAAGATGGAAAGAATTATCAGACCATCTGCTTTAAGACAAAAGAAGGCTAACGTTACTCACCCAGAATTAGGAGTTACTGTGTTTTTACCAATCTTGGGTGTCAAGAAGAACCCGCAATCACCTATGTATACACAATTAGGGGTCTTAACTAAAGGTACTATTATTGAAGTTAATGTTTCTGAGTTAGGTTTGGTTACTGCTGGTGGTAAAGTTGTTTGGGGTAAATACGCACAAATTACGAATGAACCTGATAGAGATGGTTGTGTTAACGCTGTTTTATTAGTTTGATTTGAGATATTCAATTCGGTCTTAAGTAGCTACTTACTTCTATGATTTTGCATTTTGTACTTTAGCCTTTTAGTTATGATTTTGTCTTTGTTAATTTAAATTGCATGGGTTTATATATATATAATTTTTATTTGCAAATTATCACTAAATATAAAATTACTATATTCGATATCGACGAGAATTATTCTTCAATCAGTCAATTCGTCAAAGAGGTCTAAACAAAGAATATTCTTTTTACCAATTGATCTAAACCCACAATTCAAGATTAATTTTCCGTTTTCCCTAATTATATCCCACTGACTGCTTAATAGTTTCGTACCAACCAAAAAACATAATCCGCTTATGTTTTGCTTATTACTTATAAATGGTAATAGATCACAATATTTGCTAAATATTTCATGTGGAGAATGCAATCTGTTGTCTAGCTTAAACGGATGAATGCTATATTCGTTATGGAGATTATCCTTTCTCAAATTTGTCAAAAATTCTTGCCTTATCCGCTGCAAGTATTCGTAACATCCTTCTGCACTTAATTCTACCAAATCTTCGTATTTCTCACTTGAGACTTTCTTTAAATCATCCAATTCAATAAACCTTTGAGATTCTAATCCGCTTGTCGTAAATGCATAACTCCATAATACTAAGGTTGCAATTCCAACTGCATACATGCCGTCAAAATAATCATCGTCAACATTCCAATGTATGAATTCCACATTAGAAGTCTTATCATTCAGATTCAATGGTTTTAACATCAATTCCCATAATAATAAATAGCAATGAATAATACTCTTTAAGTTCACTAAGTCATTAGTTGATCTCTTGGTTTGCGGGCTCTTTAGCCAGATACTATTAAGCTTATTTTGTACAATACAATGATCCTTCATTGTAGCACTCACACTCATATTTGCCGGCGAACCACCAAATATTGCTATGTCGTAATGATTGATATCAGCCATACCTATGATTTGAGCTAAATGATACATAGGAAACTGGCATTGTGATTTTATAATACAGTCAGCAACTCCTGCAGGGGTTTTGAAAACCTCAGAGCAACAATTGCCATTAATTTCAAGATGCCAGTTGTCGAATGCCTTAGATAAGACTTCTTTCCATAATACAAAACCCTGGGATTTATTACTTCCATTCATATTAGACAACAAAGACGAGCTGTTTTGTAGGTCTGTTTGCTGCATTTGATACATGATTGACAATAACCCAGAATATAGTATTTTTCTTGTAAAGAGAGATAATTTGAATTCGGCTTTTGTTTCTTGGCTAGATGGTGTCTTGTATGGCTTTAATAATTTTTTGAGTACGTTCAAAAAGCTTTCGCCATTTCTTATCTTTAGAGAGCTATTTTGATTTATATCTTTTCTCTTCCTCATTAAATCTCCATTGTGTTTATCCTGACTTGATTTTTGTAACTTTTTCTGTCTCTTAACAATCTTCCTAAATGATCCATTCACTTCAGTAGATTCCCAAAGGTGATCGTCATCACATGGTAAGTTGAGTAATTGCAACTGATAAAACATAATTTGAGGATTGTGGCGAAATTTAATGTAATCAATTACGTCCAAATAGAATGTCATGAATGTGATCCTTTTCATTGATTCGGATTCAACCCATTTCACAAATAAATCATAATCCGTAGTATCATTATTTTCTGTCGCAATTTCATTTGGTGTATCAGATTCATCTGCACTAGTGTTGGATCCACTCGTCAGATTTGTTTTCTTAATTGCTGTTGCCGGATTTCCACCCAACAAAGGTGATCTTCGCAATAGCTGTACAGTGGTCCCATGATGTATATGTCCCCTTTCGTGCAATCTCCTCAGAAGGAAATTTTTTTCACACCATTCCAATATATTCAAACTTTGTAAGATCCATAACTTGACCGGCGATTTGAAATCCTCATGTTGAAATATCATAAATCGTAAAGGAGTAGCCATACTAAGGCAAAACTTAAACTCTGGAGACTTTTTTCTTGCTTGTTGCTTATCTGTTGAATTATCTGTTGAAGTACAATAATTACAACCGACAATAATCATAGATAAAAGTAATAACGGTTCAGCTGTCTTGGTATCAAATGACGGTCTATGGAGAATGGTGAACTGAGGGTGGAAAATAGACCAATAGGTAGACAAATAATAAGAAAATCTATTCTCTATGCTATAATCCACATTACCCACCTCTGACTGTTCAAATATTTCATTAATTGTCTCCCTTGAAATAGATGGTAAAGATTTAATTATTTTATCAACTATGAGGGAATCGATAAAAATATGCTTATTCTTTTCAATATTATTTTTGTCTGGCATAAAAAGCTTTTGTAAAGATGCAACAGTAGATCTTCTATGCTGATCCCCCGAAATTGGACTTCTCTGTAAATCACCCGATACTATAGGAGATGTAGATTCATTGGTAGTAGTAGGAGAATTTGATGACCCTGTTGAGCTCATATTAAATTTATAGCTTAAGCTTGATAATAATGGATCGCTTCCATTAGCTGGTTGAGCTTGGTAATTTCTCAAGAAAACTTCATCTAGAGGGTTATCATCATTCGAAAATATATTAACGTCTTGCATGCCATAACTATTCATAGACTGAAGATTCACTTGTGAATTTTCGTATTCATTATGGTAAAATGGAGCCAACACCTCTTCCTTATATTGGTTGTCTTGGTGAGAAGCATGCGACTGAGGTATATGAGTCGGTGGTATTTGATGTTGACTGTGCTGATTGATTACTTGTTGATGTTGAATATGCTGCTGTTGTATTTGATCACCAATTGGTGAAAATTGGGAACCTCCATATGGTGAGTGGATAGACCCCTTTCCATTATTATCAAATACTGGTCCTGAATTAAGATGAACTTGAGAATGAATATTATTTGGACTAGGACCTACTATTTGATTGATACCTTTCATGCCTTCTCGCTGCATGTTTTCGGATCCCGGTGTAACAATCATGTTTTCGGGGGACTCTGTAAACAACCACGATAAAATATCATTTTGAGATTGAGGTCCATTACTACCAAAATTGGGAACCTTATACTGATCCGTATACATATCTTGCCCTTGCGAAGGTACAGTATTACTATGATGATGTATAAACGGTACTCTTCCGTTAAAGTTTCTCGGGTCTTGATGAGGAAGTCTTGCATCCTTAATAACGTTAGCGGGAACTTGATGGCCCATCCCATTGTTCAAGGAATGATTGGCTGGTGGTAATTGAGAACCCGTCCTATGATGTCCATTCTCCGGGTTATTTACTCCATGTATCAAATTCGATATCTGCAAAGGAGACTGTGCCTGGTAATTAGGAAGTAAGATAGGTGACTCTCCAGATGAGGCTTGAGGAGAAGTGCTACTTTTGGACGGGATAGAGAAACTAGATCTCACGCTTTTTGGATAGCTCTTGGTGGAAATTTCCTGATGTCGTTTAGCATGGCGTTCCTTCAAGTCCTTACGAACGAATGTCTTCCCACACTTTCTCTTATTTCCTCCATAATCTTCTATGATAGCCTCACATTCAAATAACTCTTTTGGCTCATGATTCAAATGATGTCGTGCTAAATGATCCGACCTTGTAAATACCTTATCACAGTCTGGACATGGGAAGCTCCCTAGGGTTCTCTTTTTCTTTCTAGGTTTATCTGTCGGACTATTCTTATTTACTCCGTTACTGCTATGGGCATCGGGACTCTCGCTATATTTTGACATGATATGTTATAATTTGCAAAAGTAGAATCTAGCTACTGAACAGATACCACCGATGCTAGCCTCCAACTTAAACGAAAACCAACTGTATTGATTAAGTATACTAAACGAATTGTTATATATGATAATAAGATAGGTATATTCTCCACCTTACTTCAGCTTCATATATGGTCAGGTGATGACAATACGTAAAAACTCGCCTAAAACCAGTCCTTTGATCGGATAGTTCTACAATTATGCTTGATAACTAGTCAATTGTCGCTTGATATTATGCTATATACCTTGTAAGTTGTTGTGATTATTTATTCTATATTTCAATAAATTTCTGAATGTAATTGTTTGAATGAGAAGTATTATCTATTAAACGAATCACGATCCAAGATCTTGGATCACATACAAATCTTTATATCTTTATAGGAAACGAGTATAGATATTCTTTAGGTACAATTTGGTATTTCTTCTAATCATTTATTTGTTATTTCTATGAAAAATTGAATGGTATTTACATATTCGATGCAGTTTGCAATTCAATCAACCGATGGAGCTCTGAAGTATGGATGAGATCTACCATTAGTTGTTCGATTTCTAACTGTTCTTTCTGGACCACCCCTTCCAGTTGATGCAGGCAGTGATCCTCGTGTATCAGAAGATACTTGAGTTGGGGTTTGGTCGTTTTGATCTTCGCCGTTGTGCTGGCTTGTTGCTGAAGGGTTGGTCTCCGAAGAATTATTATCAGATCCGGTGTTTGAACTACGTCTTGATTCAGACGCATTATTTCTTCTGGTTTCTCTCCTCATGTCTCGAACTCGAGACCTAAGTGGCATGAATGGCATATGACTAGTTCCTTCGGAAAATGGAAATCTTCTTGGTAGGACCAAATTAGGGTCTCTGCTTGTTAAAGTTCTTGGGGAATTGCCATCAACTGTGTAATATGGTGTTGCCCAATCTTGATGCATGTACGAGTCTGTCAAAGGAGTTATAGATGGGTTGAAAGGTCTCCTGAATGGATTGAAAATGTCCGTCAGATGGTTTACTATATGGTTGACAACTTGCTCTTGGTTTGTGTTAAAGTTATAGAAACTGTTGTCTCGAATGTTGTTTCTTTTGGCAACTTTTGGGTCTGTTTCTTTCAGAGCTTCAACCTCTACACGACATAAAGGACAACTAACATTACCTTTTAACCATTCAATAATGCACGATTTACCAAAGACATGATCGCAATTTGGCATTTTAACTGGCATATGTGATACCTCTTCCTCTTTATCCGTATCTTGGCTCTGTTCCTTCTTCTCTTCCTCAGCATACCCTGGTAGTATTTGATCTATTCTTGCATTTTCCAATGTACTTAAATTTCTAGGTGGAAACCTAGAGTTAATGATAGCACCTTCGTCTACGGGGAAAAACAACGATGGATCATTAAATTGTTGAGCATGTTCCAATGATTGAATGTTATTTATATTGTAAATGTTATTCAAGTTCTCACATATTGCTGAATTCTGTTCTCTAATATTATTACACATATTTGAAACTCCTTCTTCAGCATCTGTATTCTCTTCTTTCATATTCTTGTTCTCCTTCTCATTTCCAGCTTGATAAGGGTCGAAGCAAATAGGACAATTAGAATCATTAACAGATGACAAATCAAGCTCTGTTAAACTATTTATTGCATCTTCTGATGCTGTTTTCTTTTTGGTCCTAATTCCACTTGCACTTAAGGCTCTATCAAGAACATCTCTTAACCAAGTCGGCAAATCTGAATTCATATTATTAGCAGCGTCAATATCAACATCTATGATCGTTGCCCCCATGAAGTTCGGCGGTCTATCTGAAGGATCCATTATGCTTGGTATACTTTAAAGCTATCTATAATCGTACAGCTTGCACTAGAAGAAATTAATAATACTTCATGACAAGTTGGCTAGTTTGCGAAATCACTGATAAAAATCGCGGAATTACAATAGATCGATCTACATACAATTAGATGTTTATAGTAAAATTAATATACTTAAACTATACAAAATAGAACGAAATGCTAATAACAAGATAAAAAATGTAGGTGATCTATAGAGGTACGACCTATGTTACAACGAAAGCTGAAATGTCTCTAACACAGTTTCTGCTGTTGGTACTGTAAGCAATAATTAGTA